GTAGAGCCCCCACGAGACATAATGCCGGTAATATTATTATTCGATACATCAAATTAAAAGAATAGTATCGCTATACTATATTAATATGCAAGAGTGTTATGTTTCACATAAAGTATTATGAAATGTTTTCTCTGATACTTGACATTGTACAAAGAAATATTTCAGATAAAATTGGCTTAAATTTGAAGGAGAAAAAATTGTTAATTTTGAATTTAATCGAGATCAGATTTTTTTCTCTTTTTTTTTTTCCTCCTTTCTACAGAGCTTCTAATTTTTTTATATAAATCTAGTACTAAAAAATATTATAAGAATAGGTCAGCAAGAATTGAATAGTTTTATTGAATAATTAGATATTTTAAAATACTGAATAATTTTATCTCGAATAATTAGATAGACTTTAATTTTACTTTAATATAAACTATGAAATATTTCGTAAAATATTCAATTTTTCACAATTTTTAGTTATTTTTATAAAATATTTTGAGAAATAGATTTATATAAAAAATTAGGATGGTTCTCGTTAAAAAAAAATTAAATTGATTTTTATATAATCTTAAAAATGATTTCAATTAAAATTTAAAATCAATCTTTTTCTCCCTCAAAACAAAATATACTTTTTTTCTTTTTCTTTTTTTCTGTTTTCTTTTTTCTTTACTTTCGAAGAATACACTTGTAACACTTTATATAAAACATCCTATATATATTAAATTTAGCAATTTTAAAATATAAATTTAAAGTATAAAGATTTTTTGTAAAAACATTTCATGATATTTTATTTCTTCTGATCTATCGCAATAACTTTTTGAGCTTATGTGATAACGGCCAATATAAAAAGAACACAAGTTAAAATATCTATCAAGTAGTTTGCATTTATCAAAAATCTAATTAATCGCACGACTTTTAGGATTACGTAGAGATGCTTTAGATAGCAATGAAGATCGTGTTCGAGATTTACCACCAAGAGGTGGCCATCAGGGAGGCGCTGGTAATTCGGGGTACATGAGTGGCAGGCAAGGTCGTCCTCCAACCCAACGTAGAGATCGTAGAGATGAACGTCGTCGTACTACTGATGACGAAGATACTGTTTTAGACAGCCAAGACGTTTCGAGTATTGATAGAGGTAATAATATTTATCAGTTAATATATATATATATGTGCGCGTGTGTGTGTGTGAGTGTGTAAATTTGTGATCACAATCATAACCATTTCGTCCTAAAGATATAGCGTGTTATAATGCTTTAAGATTAGCATGAAATATTAAGCAAACTTTTGTGACCATCTAACACTAATATTATCGTCGAGTTTTAACTCAAATGCATGCCACTAACGTATGTGCAACTTCAACAATTATCTTTGGCTACTTTTACTTTTTAAATATTAGTCTCTATTGCACATGCCAAATAGATGGTCACAATGGTTTGTGTATGTATAGAATCTGTATCAAGTGTGGAAGGAGGATCTAAAGGAATAAGACGGAGACGACTTCGGCGTTCGCGACAAAGAAGTTCAACACCCACAAGTAATAATCAAACAGGTAATCTTATATTTAGTCAGCAAGTTTGGTTATGATTCTTTAGGACGATCGGTTATATTAAAAGAAGCGCACAATAATAAATATTTTGTCACGTATTTTATATAGGTTGACACGCACATACACATATCAGAATGTCTATTTGCTAAAAATGGAAAAGTTCTCTGAAATTCTCAGAGATTTTTTTATATCTGAAAAAAATCAGGAAACTCTCACGGAATTCAATTGGGATTCGATGGGAGTTTTTTAAAAAATTCTCTGATAATTTTGCTCTTATATTACAAGTATTCGGTATCCTAATAAGTCAAATTATGAATTATGTGTTTAAAATATATGGTAAATGCATGGTAAATATATGGTAAATGTTTATTTTAATTTTCCAAAAAAGAGTGCCACAAAATTCAATATATATATATATATATATATATATATATATATATATATATCAAAAGAAAAATATCCGTGCTATGTCAGTTAAAATAGACATTTACCAAATATATTCTATAATATAACATATTTCGATAAAGATGGGTAAACAGTAGAATAAGTAAAAATGACTATAAATTCATAAAAAAATTTTTTTCTACCACGTATCTTGATCAAAGTATTTGTTTTTAAAATTAAATTTGTAAGAAACATTTCTCTTCAAATAACTTTTATATTATTCGGTAGATTTTAATAATTTATAATAATTATTTTTCATGTTAAGTAAAGATCTTTAAAATATAGCATGACAGATTTCTTGATATCAGAGCATATCTAGAAGTCTTCTAATTAAAAAATTTTAAAGTTGGTAGGTTTCTTTTATCTTTAAATGTATTTTTAATTTTTAAATGTATTTTTGATTTTTTTTATATCTTTTTCTGAGGAAAGAATATTCTTGTTTTATTTCATCAAAACTATTTTCGAGAAAATATTTAATAGGAACTTGCAGGATTATTTTTACCTACCGTGTCTGACAAGAGATTGCCTATCTTTACCGAAATTTCTTATATCTTTATATTTATTTTTGTTTATTCAATGTTTTAACAAAATATTAAATATGCAATATATTCTTTATCATAATTTCTAATGGTAAAAAATGAAAATGTTTATCTGTGAAAGCTATTCAATTTTTTTCAATACATTTGTAAACTTAAATGATTCTGTATTGTTCTTATATGAATGAAAGGATTAGAAAACTCATATATAAAAAATCTTTAAAATATTTTCTTTATATTAAATTTTTTATATTATCTGAAATTTTGAATAAAAATATTAGGAAATTTTTTAAATTTTAGATTTGAGTAGACACCCTGGACACACATACATATTTGTACATATGAAAACATTCAGAGTTAATCTATGCATTTGTTTAGGCAGTAATGCCGGCCCGTGCGACCAATCAACAATGAATAGCAAAGAAGGAACACCTGCGAACGACGTTTCTATGTCTAACAACAGTTCCCAAGGACCTAAAGGCCAAAGAGAACATCGGTCTCGTCCTCCTCGTATGCAACAGAGCAATAAGCCTAAGGAAGCTTTGGTTAACGGTACCAGTGGCTAAACAACCATTGGGTTGTTGACAATTGCTACCAACATTGCTACACGTTACACCTGATGAGAGCTATTAACTCCCAGCACGTAACATGACGCATACCGACACAAGGATTACACGATTATGGAACACGACATGATTAGTCTACGCTCGTTGTTAAGACTGTTTGCTACCGATATAAGAATACGACAGTTTAAGAAATCGTCATTCTCCTTAAACACATTTAAGGACACATATTAATATCCATGCATGGTTTAGTTTAATGATGGTAATTACACTGTCATGTTTGATATATGGATACATTCATTGGGAGATAGAGGATAGCATTTGGTAAGAAGGATTCCCTGATTGTGAAACTGTGCCTCATTTTTATACCGAGCTCCTAACTTATGTGGCAGTGCTTCGGATGTACTTTATAGTACACCTTAGTCACTTATTAACGTTTAATGATCCGATATTAGGCTGGATAATCGCGGCTCGTACGTCAATTAAATCGCTCTGGGTAGGTTTCATCTAGATATGTCGCGCTTAGTACTTACAATGTAATTTCGAATTTATATTTGGTTTACCTTCAATAGTATTCGATTAATAAATTCAGCGTATTTTTCATACATGAATATTATATATTAAAGCCAAATGCTTTAATTACTTAATTGACAACTCTTCAAGCTCTATCAAATATAATTCTGCGGAAATTGAAACGAATGCGACATAGCTAAGATGCAACTCGATGTGCAAGGAAAATGAATTTCCGTTGTTATTTGTAACAATGGTAGGCGGCAGCTGTAAAAAAAAATTCTGGTTCAAAGGTATTCCCAATGATGTTCCTTTCTATTTACTTGAAGAAATTGAGTTTTTCATTTATGATTATATTAGTAGAGTTATATTTAACAACACTAGATTTTTATGTTTCAATGCTGAGTGTTGATTAATAATATCATGATGATTGCGAAAAATGACTTATTCGAATATAACACGATCAGATGTGCACAAGGAGTCGGTTTTTATTTCTGAATACACTTTTCACGTAATTTAGTCTCTTTCTTTTTCTCTTTTTTTTCTACTTTTACTACAGTCTAAGCATACTATATCAAACTTTAGGATTTGATATCAAGTTCGTTTCTGCATTGTTTCTCATGATTTAAAAAGAAAGTAAACGTATACTTAGTAATACCAATGTATGATGTGCCAGAGAAGGAATGATACATGTTTTATGATATCTAGCTAAAGTGCAGACTTAGCGCATACCTTTATTACTATAATACTACTTAGTCGAAATGTGGATGTCTGAACAAATAAACTAGCTTTACTATACTAAGCTATAAAATAGATATGATCAATTGTTTTAAATTGATTATCACACAATATTATTAAAAATCAGTTATATCAATTTAAAACAGTTGTCTCTCTTCTTCCGGATATGACAACAACTAATCGGACGTGTCTCATGAATTTTGCAAAAACACACACATGGTGGTTGATGCAATGTATTGACACCTAACAAAACAGCTGCCATTTTATCTGAATATTCTTGTGGCAGCCAAAAAAACTGAGATATCCCCCAACTTGCTTGTTTCAGATACATTTGTATTGATTGCAATTTGTGCATAATTTAAGAATAAAACATTTCTGTACATAGACTGGCCATTGATATAATGAACCCTGAACTTCTTCTATTAGAAACTGGTTAAATATTTTCGTCAAAATTATGTGATACATTTTATCTTTTCTTTTCTTCAAGTATAAATTCATTATTGATTTTTTTATGATAATGGTAAACAATATATTTAAATATATGTATATATATATGTATATATATATATATATTTATTTATTTATTTATTTATTAAAATATATACACATATATTTTAAAGTAACAAGTTTGATATAATTATGAGTTTCTCTAGTTGTTTAACTATTTTATATATATTTAAATAAAAAAATCTTTTCTGTGTATTACATTTTCTATAAATTTAATAACTAAAACTCGATATACCTGAGGTTGTAAAAACTTGAAACTTTTAAGTAATCGATTTTATCGAAAACAAGATTATGTTGCCTGCACGCATATAAATCAGAACATCAGGTACAAAAGTGAAGTAACATTGATGGGCTTCGATGATAACAATTAGTGAAATCCAAGATTCCCACCGAGACCCTGTTCTTTCCGCCATTGAGCTAATCTGATAGCGTACCAGCCCTGTGAAACATAATTCATTTTTATCATACTTTATTTCCTCCATTCAGTTCATCGATTAATATCAATAATATCGATTAATATATAGATCTTTATGTACACATATATATTGTATTTATTATATAAGCTTATAATGTTTACTTACTTCAACATCAGCCTCGGAAAGACCCGTTTCAGCCGCCAGTAGGACAATATCCGCGGTATGAGGCGCTCTTGGCCATCTGTTAAACTGTTCTTGAAGAACTGCTTCCTGGTCCACTGTCAAGCGAATCACTCGAGTACCAGCTCCGCTAATAGGAAGTCGTGTGGGATAAGACTTCAGCATGTTTCCTTTGTATAAAAAAAATTTATTCAAAATTATTTAAATTGACAAAAAAGGAAACAATCGAGAAAATAAACGTTACGTTATAACGTAATATATGATAGAGTTGATCTCTATATGAAATAATGAGAGGAATAAAGTTACAAACATGCTATCCTGTTACAAAATGTACTGTCAGATCAGCTCTTAATTCTTACATATGACTTCTCTATTCAGTATATATCAAAACTGACATCTATATAATATAATACATAATACATAAGTTTACATGTTTATGTATTCCAGAAATTGCGAATATGTTTTAATGTATAGATTTGATTTTCTCTTTATATTAAACTATTCAGTCTAACATTTTAGTAATAGTCAAGGATTTAGTATTTATATATAAGCAAGAAAAATTCATTTTGTGGTAAGCTGCAGAAAATGTCTAGCAACCACGCTAGAAACTTATGATAAACAAGCCAGTAATAAGAATAGCACGACATTGACCCAACATCTCATGGTCTACGAGATTTTGGATATGTTTCAAAAACGTGGCGACATACTTACGAAAGAGACATAAAAAGACTGATGAAATTCGTAATAAATTCAAGGAAAAGGCATGTAAACAAATTAAAATTGCAAACAGAAACAGTAAACATAAAAAACGAGTGCCTTTTCTTTAAATAAATTAAGATTCCACAAAGTGTGAACGACATCAAAATTGAAAAACTTGAACGCACATGAAGCATTCTTATTCCAAATATTTTCCCTTTTCGTCTGCTTGACACAGAGCAAAAACAAAGGGATTAATGTATTAATATCAGGATTGGGTAATAACTAGTTGATTAGTTAAAAGTTAAAAAAAAGTTAAAAAGTTAATAATTTTTAACTCAACTTAATTATTTTAAAAAGAGTTAACTTTTAACTTTAACTAATTATTTTTAAAACACATAAACTTAAACTTATTAACTTTCCTCCCAAATTTATTTGATGATTTATATTATTATTATTTAGAGTAATCTAATTTTAAAATTACAATCTAATTTAATATAAAGTGAAATAATGCTTTTCAAAATTTTAACTTTTATCTTAACTAACGTTAATTTAATCTTAACGTAACTTTTATTGAGTTAATTTTTTATTTGTATAACTTTTAACATAACTAAATTAATTTTTTAACCCATTAACTTTAACTTAATTTAGTTTATAAAATATATAAACTTACCCCTTGATTAATATATTAAGATATTAAAATGTCTACATCGCGACTTTCTTGGACCCATGCCTGTGTTTCTATAATGACCTTCCTAAAACCTCTTGCGGCGTGTAGTGTAAGGTAATGCGTAGTGATGTGACATTACAAATGCCTTGAGAGACGCCGCGCTAGTTACGGAACAACTTGGCGGAATAATAAACTTGACCTACACAGATCGAATCGCATACTAAGTAAGTAGACATAGACGCGTTTATCGAGAGGATGACTTTTACGATCGCATAAGCCGCTCTTATCTTGATTCAAATGAAATGTTTACGTGCAGAAATGAGGCGTGACCACCTTCTATAATCTATCATCATCGCTTGTCGATAGTTGATGCAACCTTCGCATATGCATACAGCGACTTGTTTAGATATCGAGCACATAGTGTTACTATAATCGATTTTTTTTATTGCAATAAACTTAGAAATCTAAATAGAGAATTAAAAATTTCTATATACAAATATTTATCACTTACTTATATTTGTTTAAAATTACAAAATTGAAAGTTAATTATGTGTTATTGTGAAAGAAAGTAAATATAAAATGTAAGTATTTTTTTAGAAATTAATAATTTTAAATTTACTTGCAATTTCATTTAAATAATATATATAATTTATTTTTTCCCTTTATTTGAAATTAATAAGTCTATTAAAAATATAAAGAAATTAAAAATTGTAGAGTCCTATATTTAATCTCAATCGAACGCGTTTCTGAAAATGATGGACGAGAAAAGATCAAAGCTTTCTTCATTTTCGCGTTTCCAAAAAATATCATTCTAAAAACTCCAGTTTAACTCATACAATTTAATATTTATTAAATTACGGTTTTATATTTATTAAATAATTTTGTTAATTATATAAAATTGTCTTCGAGTTCTCGATGATAAATCGAGCCAGTATACTTGTATTCGATGTAACGTCGATCTTTTTCCGATATCTACATTCAAATATTGATTTTTTTTCAATTTTATGGCATTAATTGCTAGCCCTTATAACAGAAGAGAATACGCATGTTTTTGATAATAGATATGTGGACACAAAATAATGTCAAATTGATTTAATTTTTTTATTTTATTTTTTTGTTTTATATTTATATATACTATATTGTTTACTATTTTTATAATTCGAAAAGAAATAATCGCCAAAATTTTTTTTGTATTTATTATCAATCTCAGCATTCGAAATATCTTCGAAAAATATTTTTAATATGTCACCAAAGTTATCGAAGGAAATTATCCTCTCATTTTCATAATTAAAAATAGTATAGATATTGTTCCATTTCTATTTATTTTCAAATTCTTTTCTGAAAGTTCATAAAAATATTCTATTGATCGAAATATAAGGGACTCTCCTTGATGTCCATATACATTTCGCGTTGTCTATGCGGTGTACAATACATCGATAAATCATCTTCGCAAAATTCCAAAAAATTCATAAGATTGTCTTCGAGTTCTCGATGATAAATCGAACCAGTATACTTGTATTCGATGTAACGTCGATCTTTTTCGGATATCTACATTCAAATATCGATTTTTTTTTCAATTTTATGACATTGCTAGTCCTTATAACAGAAGAGAATACGCATGTTTTTGATAATAGAAACCTGTAGTTAAAATCACTCACCGCTTTCCAGTTAGATTTAATTAAAGCGCGCATGCATTCATCAATCAAGGAATCACCGTAAAAATTCTATGCCAGAGCCAAAAAATAAGTACGACATAAATATCGATGTACAAAGGATATATCGAAAAGGACATATTACCATCTGTGATAGCAAAGTTGCCCGATTTTCAACTCGCAGGCACTCAAATTTATCATGAAAAATTGCTGCAGCCCAAGGTTCGCGAAAGTACGCGTAAAAGTCCGAGATATATAAACTCTAATCAGGCGAAAATAATATAATTATTATGAGAAATTTATAAATATAAAGCATGTAATTTAACAAATTGCTTTTTAAATTATTATTAATTATTCTTACTCGAAAACGGAATTTTAATTCGTTCAACATACTCTCGTGTTTCCCATACAAAGCGATCATATTCTGTACTTGAAATATCTAAAAAATAATTATGAGATGAAAAACATCTACACTTTTCAAATGGCAAGTAAAAAAGTATATAAATTAATAAAAGTAATAAATAAATTAAAGTAAGACCACCTTTCTATTAATACACGTTACAGTTTCCACCGAGTTATACTCGTTTAATCCAATACGGAAGTACCCAATTTCAGATGCGCAAGAACCAGTTACAAACATTTCGCTCTGCATGATGAAAAGACTATGTTAATGCAATTATTTATACGGATATTTTCAACCAAAATTCATAAATACTGACATTGTAACATTTTTATTTGCGTTCCAACTAATTCAGCTCTAAGACTCACATCTTTATTTGTTATTTCGTCCCAAGTTTTCTCTCCTGGTTTGTGTACGTGCAAATAATAATAATCGCCCGGCAACATGCATGCAATCACGATAGGTTTACGAAATACTGAGAATGTCAAATATTCTCTTTCTTCCTTCTGTTTGTCTCGTTGATGAATATCGATCACTCTTAATAAAATTTGGGCGAGCTTTCGATATAAAACAAATATGGAAAATATGCGAATGTAGAAATAATCGACAATATTGCACTTTCTAAAAAAAAATAGAACATTATTTTATACTAACCCTCTCTCCAATTTCTACACTATTGTAATACTTGTGCTGCCACGATTCGGCATAAAACTTTCTGGAATATTTCGTCATGGTACCTGCGGCGAAAATAAACGGATCATTGGTACGACACTCGGAATCTATTACTAGCAAACCATCGAAAACGAGGCCGGCATGACTAAATGCTGAAACCGTAAAATCTTATAAAAAATCACGATAAAACGCAGCTTTAAACTTGTCAATAGTGAATATTACCTGAAAATGCATTTAAATCAATCGTTTTCTCATAAAAATTAAAGAGAGCATCGCAAACCAACTTTCTTACTTTGCCCTCTTTTTCGATCGCGATACTTTCGATCATCAGTTTTCCATCGTTATCTTTTGTCAGAATCCAATCGATCATGTTCCATTCGGATAAAATTTGAATCTCGTCTCGTAAAATAGCGTTTGTCACTGCTTTGTCCACCTTACGAGCATAATATTATCGTGTTTTCTTACGATGATATTAGTTCTATATACTGAGTGAGTCTGATAAAAACTTCATCACATTTTTCTTAAAAACAGTTAAATATATAGGAAACATTTATTATCTAAATTAGATGCAACAAATAAAACACAAGTAAAGGGATACACTGTGACTTTGAGTCCTTCTTCTCCAGTATCAACTAAAATTTTCTTTTTTTAAATAGGAAAGGATGCTTATGAGTTATTTATCAATGAGTTTAATAACTTTTATATCAGAATATTTTTTCGAAAAATCAATCGAGATATTTGCAAAATTAGAAATCAAGATGAAAATTCACCGAGTGATTTTATAAGGATAATGTAGGACCATCTCTATTGACTTATTTGTTCGGAAACATTGAATTCTTCCTTTGTAGTTTGAAAACTAAGGCGTTTTGATATTCACATTTGAGTTGTAATTGTATAATCGACAACTACACAAATCATGCTGCAAACAAACATTCCTTTTGCATTTCCAATATTTAATAATTCAATTTTTTAAAAATGTTATATTCTAATGAAGACACTTTTGATATGTTAATAATTTACAACGGACACTTAATAAAACACTATAATAAAAAAATCTGTTCTAAATTTTTATTCTAACTTCTAATTTTATAAATTTCGACAACGGTTGACTTTTCGAAAAGATACTCTGATACAAAAGTTATTAAGCTTGTTGAATATTGTATCGAAGTGATTCAAAAGCATTCCTTCCTATTTAAAAATAAAAATTTTGAGAAACCAAGGAATGTGGATATTCAAAGTTTTATTTACTTAAAGTCATCATAGTATTTCTTTTTATTGGTTTATAATTTTGATAATGGATGTCTTCTCTTATTTCTAGCCTAGCCTTTCAAGAAAAATATAGTGAACTATTTATCAGATTGATAAAAAGGATATTCCATAATATGTGGGACCCACTTCAAGAATGAATTTAATACAATATTTAAAAACAATAAGAAAAGTTAAAAGACACATGTTTATATACACTTGTTTTCAAATGTTAAATCACATTCCTGAAATGGATTTCATATTGTGAGACATTCTGAATATAATTTTTTTCAGTATATTTTTAAAGAAATATAATTAGATAAGTATCAAACTACACGTGACATTATATCCTTTTAATCATACTTCGCAATTGCCAAAAAAGATTTTGTCATGCGTGTTGTGAGAGTTCAGGATCGGCTTGATTAACGTGATCCACGAAGGCTTTACACCGAACTTGATCAAACCACCAAGTGCGCAGTAACAATCAATATTACAACCGTAAAAAAGTATTGCTTCTAATGGAATCAGGCATTATCAGAATATTGCAAAATAGCAACTTGATTAAATTGCGTTGCACTTACTTCTTTCTGTAAGATTGTTTGTTAATAGCCGAATTTTTCTCAAGCATATAGAAGCTTCCGTATCATCATTTACAGTAAGACAATTCCATGGTATTAGCTCTTCTGTATTCATCCTTAGACAAATTATATATAATATATAATAAATTTTTATAAAATATAAAATTTATATAAAAAAATTTATATAAAAAAAATTTATATAAAATATTGTATAATACTGTAATATAATAATACTATGTTACAAGTCACATTTATTTTATATTAATGTGGACATATTTATTCTCGTTCTCACATTTTTGATGTTTCTTGTAACATTGATCTTTGATATTGTAAGCCGCATGTTAAAACCAAATAGTCGTATGTAATATTTCCTTGATTCAGCACATTCACATATTTTTCTTTCCTAGAGCGAATACATATGTATTTTATGTATACATGTGATTTATATTAAAGCGATCAATTATAAGAAAAAGAGAAAATAAGAATATATATAAAAAAAAACGATAATTATGCATAAAACTGAGCAACTTCATAATGAGAATTTGGAGAGAAAATGGGGGAATAATTTTTTGAATTATTATCACTATTCATGTTAAAAAAATACATATAATATATAATTAAAACAGCTTTACTATCACCTGTTAATCTCTATCATAGTCCCATAAACAATATTGATCCAAGCACTCGCAGTCATACAACAACGATATTCTAAGCAAAATTTTCCTTTAAATGGAAGTAGACGTATCTCTGCACGACTTGGTTTATTATCAAAGGGTATACCATGTGGCGATATTAATGTAAGATTTGTGAATTGTATATAATGTTGCATTGATCTATCACGTAATTCAATATTACGAATGATTAAGAGAAAATTATTATATATGTATATTAAATAAAAAATTATTATATATGTATATTAAATATGTATAATGATACATATGTTATAGCTAAGAAAACTTTACCGTAAAGCAAGATATTCCGCAAAAGCAATTCCACATTCCGATGCGCCAACAATGACGATCTTCATATCAATAATTACACGTGGCATCATTGCCAATCTTGGCGACGTTACAAATAAAGAGAATTTATTGTTATCATTATCTTCATTTCTTACGTCATTTTTGCAGCTATCAAGATTTTCCGAATATTGAAATTTATTCAGCTTGTTTCGAGGATTAACTGGAATCATATCGTCCAAACAAGACACCAAAGGATGCATTCGTGTCTGCAATACGTATCTTAAATTTTATATTATTTTTTTTTTTTTTTTTTTTTTTTTTTTTATGATTTATTTTTTTTTTATTTTGTTATTGATTTTTTAATCATAATGTATTATATATTAAAAATATTATAAGAAAAAAAAAAAATATTAATAAAAAATAGTAAAGCAAGATATTCCGCAAAAGCAATTCCACATTCCGATGCGCCAACAATGACGATCTTCATATCAATAATTACACGTGGCATCATTGCCAATCTTGGCGACGTTACAAATAAAGAGAATTTATTGTTATCATTATCTTCATTTCTTACGTCATTTTTGCAGCTATCAAGATTTTCCGAAATAATTGGAAATTTATATTCAGCTTGTTTACGAGGATTAACTGGAATCATATCGTCCAAACAAGACACCAAAGGATGCATTCGTGTCTGCAAATAACGCTATCTTAACATTTTATCAGTTATCCTTTTATATTTATAATTTTTATGATTTAATATTATAATTTAATTTTTATGATTTAATATTATTTTTTAATATTATGTGTGTGTGTATGTGACTTTTTTTAATCAAATAATATAAACTTCCATGTTGTAATAAACTAGAATGATTAAAAACACTTTTGCTTAAAGACCCAATTTGCTTTAAAGATCAAAAAAGGATTTTTTTACATTTTCTAAAAATATAATAATTTTCTGAAAAATATATTTTTCAAATTTTGAAAAATTACAAAGTTGATGAAATTATAACACTTTGAATAGGATAATACACAGATCTTTAAATGCACTTGCAAACGCGTTTTTCTCAAAATACTATTTTTAAAGTTGATGTGGCGGATATTTTGAAAATTAATAGATAAATTATTTTTTAAATGAAAGAGAATACGTTTTTGAATTACTTTACTGAACTTAATAAAATAGAATTAATACTTAATATTTTTCTAATCTTTGAGAAATAAATAAATTTCAGCAAAATTGAATGAAATATTTAATTTTAAAATGACATTACTTTTCAAATTAAAATATCAAATTTAAAAATAATATTACTTTTGTTATTTTTCAATTTTCTCTAATTAAATTACGTTCAATATCATATAAATATTATATAGAATAAGCCTTTATATTCATTTCAGACAATTATACCGAATTATGAATTAATTTTTCGAAAGTCTCTGCTATTCTCGCAGAGATTTGCATTAATCAAAAAATATTTAAGATTTAAAAATACTGACATACATATATACTGATCTAAATATTAATAACATATAAAACTGTCCAAAAAATTAATTTCTAATATTCTTCAAAAGAAATTCCGAAAAGTTTAATCAATTTTTTATATTGCTAGATTGAATTTTCTGAATCATGATTCGAATATTATCATAAACCTCACCAATGCACTCTCATCTTCGTGATGAAGTCGATAGAAGATTACCGTTAACTCGCTTAAACGAGTGATCTCGCGGAAAAAGAAACGATGGTAAGCGGAGAAAATCGGCATGAGAACAAAATGCAAGAGGCGTCCGTAATTATCTTGAGGAATACTCCGCATAGACACGTAATCTTCTATATGGTAATGTTTTTTAATGAAATTAATCTGCTTTTCGGCCCTACAATAAGATGAAAAAAATATTTGTATTCACATTAATATTAAAAAAAACTATATTGGTATACACATAATAACCGTAATATAGCGAGTCCGATCATTGTATCGTTACATTCGAAAACGAAACAATCTAGATCGAGCTGCAAAGGATTCATCGCAAAATCAAAGTCGGTCAAAACTTCGTTGTATTTCGGTATAGTGAATAAAAGTTCCTGTACACACTTTCGATCTCGTATTTGAGCGCGACGACACTTTATCTTTTTGCGAAGAAGCGCTCGATGTACAATATATAACGTCATCGGGAAATCTTTGTCATATTTCAATGGTACACGCTATATTGTATATGAGATTGTTTTCGATTGAAAACATAATATACTATTTTTTTCTTCTTTGTTATAACATATTTAATAGTCAAAATGATTGTTATGACAAATACCGTAAAATGTTGAAGAAACTGATAGTTTGGATGCGAAAAAGGGAGAGAAATCGCGCAGTACTCTAAATGTGGAAAACAGTCAAAAGCAGCTTCCAAGAAATCATATGACCAATGAGGCCTCATCTCATCACGTGTAGCAAAAATTTCCAAAACGAAAGCGTTTATTTCACCGTGATATGTCGGACGTATTAGCAGAACATCATCATGAATGAGTTGCGTTTGCATCATCTTATTATCTTTAACAAATAGAATATTTATCTTTCTTGCAAAGAAGCTATCATGCGTTATATAATTATTAACATTGAAATAGTTATCATAACTTCTCATTTCATACTCCCCCGCTCCCCCGTTTTTATATCTTTCATAAATCCTAAAGAGAATCATGATAAACAGAATTGCAGTTAAATTATGAATCTATAATTCTTTGCAAAGTTTTTCTTGCGTAGTTTTTTCCTATGTCACGATTGCCATTTACACAATTAGTTACATATATGTAGAATGAAATATTTATATGCACATGATGAAAACATATTTCATTTTGCACATATGGTATTAGAATCAGAGACATATGAAATATGGCGCCGTTTACGAAGGGAAAATGATAATAGTAATAAGAGCGACAATATACTGACTTCGAAATGGTTAAATAACGTTCAATATATTGGAACATGCTACTCTCTTATACAAGCTCAAATATATGTAAATTAAATATAATTGAATCTAACCGAAGCAGAAATCAGTCGTTTGTCATTTCTCTTAAAAATCAAGAGTCTACCTTTATTGTCTATATCGATAATTAATATTGTATTTAAATATTTCTCCTCTTGAATTGATAATTGGAATAGAAAAGGGAATGAAAGGAAGTATTAAGAATAGGAAGTTTGCTTAATCATTTTTACCTACGAGAGAAATTTCATTTCCATCTCTTCTATTCGATCCTTCGAAGTTATAGCTTTCTTAAATTATTAAAAGCTTTCAATATCGTATATAAAGTTTATCATATATTAAGTATCAAATTTGATTATTGATAAAACATTAACCTCTCTTTTCGAAATTTCTTTCATCTCGAGTTGCTTTGATTATTCCTGATGTATCATCATTCAAACTCCGATTGAATCGTTGCTGCCCATATTCTTGCGATTCTAACAAATATAAAAGCTTGAAGAAATTCGCATGAATGATCACGGCGAAATCAATTGATGTTTTACCATTTTCATGTAACTTTCTTAAATTGTTATACGGAGTCAATTCAAAATTCTCATTCAACAGATCAACGTCAATTGTGGAATTGAGACACATAACACCTGCTACCGAGCCATCGGCGTCTTCTCCGATGATCAATTGACGACAATTATCCGGATAACGAATTATTTCGCTGATGTAATACTCCCCATAAAGTTCTCTCAGATGTATATCTTCACCGCCGATAATCGATATTACATCATCGTTATCCTCCTCGCTACATTGTTATGTCATAAATATATGTTGGCTTTCGCAAAAAATAGCGAATTTTATTAAGATGGATCAAAAAACTCCCTATTTTATTACACATTTTATTTACTATTGATGCATAAATGAAATAATTTTAATTATTATATTAAAATGGAAACTAATGATCCATAGTCTACGAGAAGATTGATGCAATTATCCCAATCACGAATTTAAGATTCTTGATCAAAATCCGAGCTTTTGATGTTTAACTATTTTTGAACAATATTCTATGCCGCTGTAAAATCGTCTTTCTCTAAAAATGTTTCTTCAGCAGTTCAAACAAATCGGAAAGAACTAGATCCGAGTAAAGAGGATGTTTCATAATGTTCCAGTCAAATAATTACAAAAATTCCTGAGTTTGATGAGCAGAATAAGATTTGGCATTATTGTAAGAAAAATTCACAAGAAAAAGATTAAGCCTTTTTTTCTCGAATTATCTACTTGATGTAACAGTACAAATTCGGGAAATCATTTGAATAATTCATTCCACACCAACAAGTGTACAAACATTGTGTTTCTTTCCGTGGCAGCAGGAATTCTTTTTGGAAAAAGATGTCAGTTAAATAAGTAAAATGTTGTTCAAAAATATACATCAAAAGCCTGATTTTTACTGAAAGTGAATCTTCAAACTCCTGCCAAGATAGGATAAGTGCATCAATCTTCTTGGCTATATTAAAAAATAGTCATTTTAGCTTCTATTTTAATATAATAAATCCTATTTGTGCATAAGTTGTAAATGAAAATCGCAGTAAGCTGGGGAATTCTTTTATTTTTTCATCTACCAAAATTTACTCACACAACCCTCCGTATCTTTAATTTGGGACGTAATCGTTGTCGATCGTTCAAATATAAAAATTGCAACGAGTCGGTGTGTCGCGCGTGTTTAGCCAGCACTCTTGTCATCTCTCGCTCAAATATATCCGCTAAAAAATGTGATGATACAAATTTTGAATTAATAAACTATTCGAGCATAATTTATTAACGCGTCAAAAACTTGACTTGAGGAATATAAATCGATAAAAAGAATTACTTAGTATAACCCGAGGAGGTACTATGAGGATTACATATTGGCAATAGGTGGTAATGTCAAAAATCGTGGCCAATAGTTCCTTCAAAAACCCATTTGAATAACGTTCATCCCACACCAACAAATGTACGAACATCGTGTTTCTTTCTGTGGCAGCAGGAATTCTTTTCGAAAAAGAATGCCAGTTGAATAAAGTTCGTTTGATATTTAGGAAATCAATCAATCGACATTATTTTATTAAAAGGTTTTCGTTATTTTCTAATAAAGTGTTGAAGATGGAAAAAAGATTACCCATAAATCGTTTTTAACCAAGTCAACCAATCGCATGGTGGTACAGATGGAATATTGGGATAATTGCAAAGGCATATCCCCGAAACGATATCATGTCTATCGTTGTATTGGATTATCGAGAGACAAGAAGTTTCGCTACAAATTTTATATAATGGTACTTCGAAAGTGCGATTTATATTTTGCCAACATATAAGAAAGAGCAAGCCTCGACATAATTCGCTATAAATACTAGAGTCGTTCCAATTCTACGTCTCCGAAAATTTCGTAAGTTATCGGACGTATCAGATGTTCCAAGTATGGTAAATCCGAGTGTTCAATGCCACGATATCCTGAGATTTTGCTAGGGGAATCGTCAGCATAACTCTGTGAACTTCTGTTTTTCGATTCCTTAATCAAAGTGACCGTCGACATCTTGAAAATCTCTGCTTGGCAGAAACTTATGCGAATACAATATCTCGTATGTCGTATGCGATTTTCATTTGCAATCGATTCTTATCGCGAATCTTTCTTAAACATTTTAATTAAATTAAAATTTAATTTTAAATTAAATTTTAATTAAATTAAATCTTATATAATATAAATAATTGATACATACAGAAAATCAAAATTTTTTTTCCTTTTTTTTTATAATTAATCAATTCTTATTAAAAATAAGACGAGAAAAAAGAATATGACAATGTTTTATTTTTATTAGCTTTAAATTTTGAAATATAATATATTCAATTTTTAATTAAAGTACTTAATTTAATAAATTTTGTGGGAAAATTTATTAAAATTTAATATTAAAATTTAAACAATTTAAACAACGTTTCTCGATCAATTTTCGTTTTTATTAAAGTCTAGAATAAAATTCTAATGGAATAAGATTACGCAAATCTTCATATCATTCTGCATATTGGTCATGTCAACTGATAAAATATTTATAGTCATAATCCATTTTTTTCAATATTTTATAGTGAAAGGAAAAATAACATTCACTTACATGATCTTTAAACTCTTGTCATATTATACTAATGGCGACAGGAATTGATTAGAAATATTTTATTTCTCAATCGGAGATTTACTGCATATGAATTAGAAAATATATGCTCAGGACACATTCTTTTACAGCAATACAAATTCAATCACTCACATTACTGCACCAGTACCTATTAAAGATAGCTATATATGAAAAATATTTAAATATAATAACAATATGTAAACTTTGATGAAGAAATAATGTATATTCTGTTAAAAAAGTGACAATATACATTATGAATGAATTTTATTACTTAAATTGTTTAATTTGTTTTATTACTTAAATTGTTTCCTCTTTTATTTAAATAATTTCATACATGTCAGCTTTTAGTACTGCTTTTAGTGCGATGTAGTGCAGAATTCACTAATCATTTTCTATCAAATAGTGATATGCTGTCTTGATTAAGGAAATTAGACATTTCTGAAATGAAAATCCATACACAAAACAAAAATTGTCAATACATTTACACGACATTTTAAAAATAAAATGCATTTTTTCTTATATCAAAGTTAATAAGAATTAACTATTTTAAAGATAGAAATATTCTTCATGTTTATTAATATAATTATAAAAATTATCTTTAATCTTATATTTTAACCTTCTTTTTAATTTTAATTTAATTTTTTTTATAAAGATATTTCTTATCTTTATATTTCAGATCTTTTTTCTTCTGACGATATTAGATACTTGCAGCAGCACGAATCTGGCATTGATAATCGCCAATTAACCATTTGAGATAAACAGTTACGAGGAAAAAGATCAAATGAAATTATTGAATGTCAATTGATCGTGGGAAAAGTTCGTCGGACCGTGCAACGGGTCCGACAAGGCGACCGACTTTTATGTCCGCAAAAAGAGTAATAATAAAACTACTTGAACAATCTAAGCGGAGAGGCGAAGAGTAATTGCTTCGCTTTCTTGCTCCCGCAATCTCCTCTTACTCTACGTGCAGCTCTTTTTCATCTAACAAGTGACTCCTGATAAGGAGCTCTCACAATTGCCAATAAATTAGAGTCAAATATACCGTTCGAAAATTTGAATCAATAATTCTTGTTCCACAAAATCCGATTCACTTCTTTCGTTTCTGCTTTCTAAGATATCCATATTACTCGCGGAGTCAAATTGACAATTTTGACCTTTTTTTAATTTTCCTAATTTATCTAATATCCAGCGAATGCGATTGCAATTACATAAATATATTATATTGACCGAGTATAATTAACTTCAGTCCCCCTCTAGAAGAAAAATTTTCAGAAAATAAAAATTAACTGATACTCTTTCTACAGCACAAGCTACTTAAACTTAATACGCACGACACTGTTTTCTGCGCGTGCCACCATGTGATCTTGTCACTATGCATAGAAGACCTGTGATATTAGTACGTAATGAAAATATATGTGGAGCAGTACTCAAATTAATGAGTGTGATCAAGTTTCAAGATTGCTACTGATTGTACTGACTTGAAAAATTAATGTACAGAATAGGGATTCCCGCAACAACGGTGTAAATTTTTTTGCGCGGAAACTATTCATAACGCATTAAATATATATTTGCATATATGTAATATCGTAAGCACAGTACTGTAAGTGCAAACATAACATGCAAAAATTGGCAATAACAGACGACATTTTGCATTTTTAATATTTTTTTTCTTCAAACTGGGTTACTCAAATCTACTCAAATCGCTCCGCAAGTTCCTTATATATATGTATATATATTCTCTCAATTATTTGAAATATATTTTCTTTTTCCTTCTGCTTTTCTTATCCGTTGCTGAGAAAATTACCAAATCATGGTTGATCCTTAACTATCTCTTCAACTCATGGCAAATTTCCGAGCTATTAAAATAATGACTTTCGTCATGCAACGTGTGGAATTATGATGTGCAATACAAGAAATTTTCGACGTGTTACTCAATATAAGAATAAATTTTCAAAAAATACAGATTTTTATATTCATACTTTCTCTCTCTCTCTCTCTCTCCCTCTCTCTCTCCTCTCACTTCCCCCTCCTATTTTTTTTCTCCACGCTTTACTTCCTTCTTCTTTTCTCCATTTTTCCTTTCTTTTCTCTTTTCTTTCTGACATATATATATATGTATATATGTCAGAAAGAAAAGAGAAAAGAAAGGATATGTGTGGTGTGTGTGTGTGTATGTGTAGAATGTTAAATTAAAATTCATTAAAAATAGATTTTACTGAGGAAAATCATTACGTATAGATATAATGTACTGCCAACGTTTACAAATAATGACGATAACACTCACTAGATTTCATTAACGAGAAAGTCTAGAATTAAGACCAGTCGCCTTCACAACATTAGTTTTAATCAAGAAACTTTTTGTTCCTTGCTTCTAATTAATTCGATAAAGATCCCATGATTATAAGCTGTACGATAATCTCACTGTGAAAAAAACACATGTGTGTGTACGTGTGAATGTGAATGTATAAATCTATGTGTGTGTGTGTGTGTGTATGTGTGTGTGTATGGTAATTATGCACTTTACGGACGACCGAATAACTTTTTAATAAATAGTGAACAACTTAAAACCATTGATACTTACTCAGGAGAGTGAGTATCAAACTTGTCACTCGACAACATATGTCAAGATAATTTAAATCGGAGAGATCGTCCGTAAAGTGCATAATTACCGTATGTACATATATATATATATATATATATATATATATATATATATATACGAAATATATTTTATTGGAAAATATGTATCATGATATTATTCAAAAGATTAAATAATTTCTCAAAAACGTAAAAACGAAATTTCAAAATATAAAATAATATAAAAATAATACAAAACATAAAAACTTATAATAATATAAAAACATAATAATATAAAAACAATACAATAATATAAAAACACAAGAATATAAAAGCAATACAATAATATAAAAACTTGTTGACATAAAGTTGCGATTAAGCAAAATGATTTTGGAAAAATTGGAAACTTGATAATATATATACATTTTTTTATACATTATTTTTTCTTGATATCTATAATGGTCTATTATACATTATTGAATTTATGTTAGTAGCTAACAAATGCACAATTTTTATTAATCAAAAAATAAATTGATATATATATAAATTTATATACACACAGCTTCTTAAAAAAAATTCAAAATTCTATTTTTTAAATAATTTTAAAAATCGTAGATCCTCTTAAATTCATATAATTGTACATACAATTCGTAACTTATAATTCAAGAACTTGATCTTGAATTATTTCGAACTTGATCTTGATCCAATATTTTCAATTGGATTTCTAAACGTACACACTAATACATGCTTAATTCAAATGTTGTTTATATATATTAGAATTGAGTAATAAATTGTAGACTCTTGAAGAGAAAAAAAAGATAGAACAAATCTCTTACCGCAAAGTATCATCTTTTTATAAAACAATTAAATAAAATTACTAAAAATGCAAAAAAATATATGTCATATGCAACAATTAATTGTTCTATTAGCATCTCCTACACTATAGATGTAAATCTGTGAATAGAATTCCTTTTAATAATAGATTATGTCGAATTGATATGCAGATTATAATTAGCAATGCGAAAATCGCTTCATGAATTAATGCTTCATTTTCTAGTATCGTTCTTGCATACACTATGAAAAAAGATTCTCTTCTCGTGTGCCCACTAGTAAGAAATGCTTCCACAGTTGTCCCGCTATCCTCATCATCGATATAGCGATAGTGTATGTAGAGCAGCATTATTCAGATAGAAATAAAGTATAGTTAAAGTAAAAAATGTTAAACAATTTAATTCAAATTTTATTTAATTTTATTTAATTAAAAATGTAAAACAATTTTATTAATTTACAAATCAAATATTATTTAATTATTTTAAAAAAATTAATAATATTATATATTATGTATTTTTGAAATGTAATATAATGTGTTATTATTTTCCAATTTTTAAGTTAAATTATCTCGCGCGAAAACAATATACCTATATATATCTGTCTGTGTGTGTATTATATTTACACACACACACACACACACACACACACACACACACATATACATATATATATATTTCTCATTGCATTATAATGTTATAAGACATATTGTGTCATATATCTTATTGGCATAGTCTTTGTAATTAAATAATTATCAAAAACAAAAAACAACTTACACACTTACATAATCAAATCTCAAGCAAGCTTTGCTTAAAAATTTCCTCTATTAATTATTTTCTTAAATGTGCAGACATATTGAATCGCTTGTGCAATGTGCGTAGTTCGTCATTTGTCATTTGTCACTAATATAAAATCCGCAATATTTTTTCGAATAATATCGAATCTTATACACTATGTGCGATCAAAATAATAAGTACAGCATTGCATTTATTATACGATTTAAATATGCATAATATACATAGTATACGCATAGTAGTAACTTTTCAATACGAAACTTCTCAAGTATTCAAAGACGTCTTACGTAAATAAAATTTGATTTTATTTTCGAAAATAAAACTCTCTTTGCTCTTAATTATTTTAAATTTTAAACTTTCTTGATCTTCGCAAAAAATAAAGTGTTATATTAAATTAAAAAGTTGCAATATATCACAATCATGTATAATTTCTTTTCAATTTTTATTCTCCATCTAATATGATGTTTTAAAATAGAAAACGTTAAATTTTTTATGATGATTTTTTAAGACATTAGGAGTTAAAATAAGAGGTTTTAAGAAAAGTTGGCTTACTTATTGTTTCGTGAAGTAGATGATCGCACAAGGACGTAATAGATTCACACTCGCCAACGGTACGCACGCAACTGACGAGACTTTCTGGGATCGAGCTAAACTACCGTATTGTAAAATACAAAGCAGAGTGGGGATGAAACTGTTTTGTATATACATACATATATATGCAGCTGTTTTAAAATATTGGCACTGTAAATTTAAATGCATGATATTAAATTAATATAAATAATTAGTGATTCTCCATCGAAATTTACGATTCAAAATATAGCGAAATAAATTTGTTATAAGTTAAAATTTATTTAAATTTGTCATAAATTTATAAATATATTTTTTCTTTCAGAAATACATTTATAATCTAAAATTTCAAGGCAAAGAACACATTTTTTTATTCCTCTGTAATATATTCCGAGTTTTAAACTTTTATATACAAGTTTCAATAACAAGCAAATCAAATTAGATTTAATTAATTATTATTGACGTCAATTTATATATCACATACGTTTATTTATATTATGATTTATATGTCACATTACGTAATAAGAAATATGTTGGTTAGATAAACTATTTAAAAAGATATTGCAAAAGAAGATTGCGATTTTATATGTGTGTATTGCACAACATGTATAATATATTTTATAATTTTCAAGAAAATGCAAAAATACGCATTCGCATACCGCAAATTCTTAATAAATCTAGGCTTGGACACGTGGCTAATGGGTCCGCGTGATAATCCATCCTTGACCCGCTAGTTTCACATGTATAAACACACATATGCACACTGTCGACTGAATTACTTTAATCGCGCGAAAGTACGATAATTTTCTACGCACATCATATGAAGAAGCACCTTACTGTATTAATTTCTCTCGTATAAAAAAAAGAATATATTTCTTTCACATATGATATTTTAGAAAAATTATTTTGTTGAGTGAAGGATAACATATATTTTTCTGTAAATACTGTCATACTAATATAATATAAAAGCAATAAAAAGATTATACGTAATAAATATATATATATCCGGCAAGTTATTGATTAATTCTAAGTTTCCGCCTACATAATCAATATCCTAGTAAAAACTATTATATTAATATTATGTAAAAGCAATAAAACGCAATATACAAGCAATATACATTAGTGTGTTACCGACAACTTACTATAGTTAATTGTAATTTCTCACTCATAAATGTAACATATAATTTAAAAGATGTTATATTGTTATAAAATAGTAGTTATACTCTATATAAAATTAGTTATATTATTATAATATTTTTTTAATTGATCATATATAGTGTTAATTAAACAAATAAAATAAATTATATATATTTAAGTTATAAAAGAATCAAGATTTAATTTCTCATACAGCACAGAACATTACAGTAATATTGCGGCAACATTGCAATGTTGCTGCAATGTTACAACAATATTAATAATATTACTGCAATATTCTATGCTGTATGTCAAGAATAAAGAGAATTCTCGATTGTGATTGGTCAATTTCTTAAGTCTTACGCCTTAAAATCTTGTAGACGCCGCTTTATATACTGTCTTGGCTGGATCCTACTCTTCAATTAAGCCCCTTGCACAATGTTAGATAACAAGTAATAGAAATAGGAAATAGAAACTATTCACCAATAAATACGCGGAATAGAAAATATTCGCCAATAGAAGCAGAGAATAGATACTATTTCTTGTTGCCTGTTACCTTTCAATCTCAAACTGCCAACATCTGACGTCACTCGTTGCTATAGTAAAAATATGGGAATGCAGATCTATATATATAGGCTGTCCTATTTTAAAGTTTTCACTGGAATATCTCTTCAGAAAAGTATTTTAGGAAAAATGTTTCAAATAAAAGTTGTAAGGTTTTTAAAGTTCTATTAAATCGTTATATTTGTTTGATCTTGAATGGAGAAGTCAAGATCATATGGAGTTCAACTTTGTTTTTTTAAATGAATCTTTATTTTTCATTGCATATTCTTATAGCTTATCTCAAGAACTTTCCAAAAGACTATAATTTTTTTAAAATACTTTTCGAGTTATGAGTTATGCTTGAAATAATTTCTTAATTTCATGTAAACCATAAAATATCTAAGAAAATATTTATTTTTCGGTTATTTTATCTTGATATTTTTATACTTAAAATAATGTGAGGAATCAATTGGTGTAAAGAAAACACATAGTTGTTTTTAAGAAAAAATATGTAATTGTTAATTGCAAATTATATATAATATATAATTAATATATAATTATATAATTTATATAAATATTGCAAATAAACTTGTAAATATTTTAAAATACACATCCACTAATAAATTACATGCTTAATAAACAATCAATGCTTAGTGTAACACGATTGATCAATCACGAGATTCTAGTGTTTAATTGACCAATTGACAATATGGACTAACGGATTCTTCCCTCGACAATCAGAAAAGCAGTTATCGTTGATTAATTGTCGATTAGATACAGAATTTAATAAACATATTTAATAATTATAAACAATTTAAAGAAACTACAAAACTTGTCGATTAGATACATAATTTAATAAACATATTTATTAATTATAAACAATTTAAAGAAACTACAAAACTTTTTAGCTTTATCACAAAACTCTATAAACAAAATACAATTAATTAAAAAAAGAAAAAGTTATTTTATAATATATGTCGGCTAGTTTCATGGTTTATAATTAAATAATTGATTAAAAATTAATTATAAACTAATAAACAAAAATGATTGTAATACAATAATCTATAAATTAAATACGAACGATTTCATATTTTATTTTTTAAAAATTGAGTTAATCGTCGGCTAACATTATACGAATGAAGCGCTAAGCACATACGCTTACACTCACATGTCTGTTACCTCCTCCGCTCACAGTTGCCGGTTGTCAATGTATCCATTTTGGCATGGAATCCCTGGTATGGAATTTGGTCGAGACAACGGCTAATCTGGTCTTCAAATCCAATCTATCCCAATCCATCTTCTTGGGGTTTCGCCTTCACATGAACAGGGTTGATAAGGAGAGTAAGACGTATCTGCCTATGATCAGATGCTGAAGGTTCATCTAAGACCCTCCAATCAGGTTAAACACGTCCTTAGTACAAATCGTAATGTCTTCTAGCGTCTAGGAAAGTTCCGTGTTTCTGTTGAGGATGATAAATCCCAAGATGAAGTCATGTCAGGCTTTCTCCTCTCGGACAGATATCTGAGTTCCCCCAATCAATATGATGGGAGTTTACGTCGCAAGAGAAGTTGAACCTTTTTTCTTCAACGTAAGTTCGATCAGATTTTTAATTTCCTTCCCCTGAGATGATAGATCGCAGGAATCATAGGGTATGTAAGTCAATCCTATGAATAGTTCCATCCTCATAATTGAGCTGGGAAAATAGCATTAAAACCTGTAACCGCAATGAAAGTTTTCAGTTTGCAGTTTGAACAGACTTTGAAAATGATTCCACAGCCGCTCGAACCTTTAACCATTATTTAACAGCCATGGTTTCTGAATAATAGCAATGCGTGTGCAACGCAGGGATGCTCCTGGCAAGAATAGTCGAGGCGTCTTTGCTGTGATGTAAGTAAATTTAAATAAAAGGGATTACAGAGACTGCCATAATTAGATAACCTCCTCCTTAATAGTCACCTTAATAGATTGAAAATCCTTTTTGCGCTCTTTTTCCAGCAATCTTACGGTTGCCTGTCCAAGACCGCAGAAAGGTTTAAAATTGCAGGCCTTCAGGGTTTCCAATGATGGATCCCTAATCAGACAGGCGAAGTGGGTGTTCGTAGCATCCCTACTTTCGCTCTCCTTGATGACGATCCAATCATTGGTCGCCAGACCCGTATTTTGTTTGCCGAGGAGCTTCAAGGCCTCCTCAGCAGACACGTCTGATTCTTCCACATGCACCATCACTCGATGACGCTTTGGCAGCTCATCAACTGACAGCACACATAGGGAATTTTCTCCCAATTTTAAGTCGGAGGAAAGGTTTTTGAGCCAGTCCCCAGATTGCTCATCGACGCAAGTAAACACTAAAGCACCATCTCTCTCCCAGGAGCCGGAGAATGTGGGGGCTTTTGTATCTTCGGAAAGCTCGAGGATACGCTCCCTGATTAGTTTCCTGATTATGCTACATTCTCCAACTCCTAGTCTTTTGTCAGGATAGCCCTCTAAAGTGAGAGCTAGCGTGACAAAACCTTTAGGCGCATAGGATTCTTGATCGGAGATCTTGGGTCGTTTGCCCTGAATGTCAGTGGGGCTGGGAGTACTGAGCTCCGACCAAGCACGTTTAGATGTTACAGCTGGAGCCTCACTTTTGTCAGGATAGCGCTCTAAAGGGAGATCTAGCTTGACAGAATCTTTAGGCGCATAGGATTCTTGATATGAGATCTTGGGTCGTTTGTCCTGAATGTTAGTGGGGCTGGGGGTACTGAGCTCCGGCCAAGCACGTTTAGATGTTACAGCTGGAACCTCACCTTCTCCAGTTTCAGAATTTGGCACAACTTCAATAGGACAAATTTGGGCTTTGGCAGACTCCTTCTCCCTCTGAAATTTTTCTTTTTTGTAGCGTCGCCTGGCTGCTCCGCTGTATCTAACTCGGACTTTAGGAGAGTTTTCGGTCGAGTCCGTTCTTGAGTTGAATTCCTCTAGTCGTTCGCTTCCTAAAGAAACGCTTTGGAGGACTTTGTTGAAATCGGATTGATTGTTTTGTAGAATTGGTTGATTTGTAGAATTCATTTTTGTTCCCACGAGCAGATGTGCGTTTTAATTAACTTGCTGATAATATTCTTATTTAGCACCTGTAATAATCAATTTTGTTGCATTTAAATATCATATAACATTAATAAAAGTAAACGTAAATCTTGTTCTACTGTCAATTTGCCATCAGATTGCATGCGCAGATCTTGCTCGGTTTCTGCCGACAGTTTGTGACAGATTATATTTTACAAACTCTGTCGCCAAAACAAAAGCTTAAAGCGGACACAGATGGCCACGGTTCTGGTGTAGGATTTATTTTGATTGAATTTGGAGCATTGTATGCCCAAGAAAGGGATACTACATTATAAAAAGAAAAAAACAGAGAAAATAATTTAAGATTCAATTTTGTGTTAGATGTAATTTTTGTCTGTACCTATTCATTTTAAAATATTTGAAATAATATACCCTATATATGTCCAAAAGATGTCCAGAGGTCATCGAGAGAACATCCAGAGGACATAAAATATTCTTTGGCTGTCCTTTAGATATTCTATGGACATCTTCTAGACATGTGTGTTGTTAGGATATATATATATATATATATATATATATATATATATATATAATGTATACCCAGGTAGCAAGCAGACGTCATTTTGACTTTTCAAATTGGTCATTCACTGTTTATTCTTCACGAATTGGCGTTTTTATGACATAAAAGTGACGGTCTAATGTCACAGATTCTTGACGTCATAACATGTACCGCATTTTAACGTCATAAAATGTACCATTTTTTGAGTCTTTTTCTTAGCATAATAATATATTTAATAGTGTTGTCGAATAAAGCACTCTCTAAAAGTGAACCAGTGTATTATCACTGAAAAACAGTAAATAGTCACTAATTACAGCAGTTATAATACAGCACTGTAAATCAGTGATATTTTATTGAAAGAATCAGTTAATAATTTTGACTATTTCAATCAGTAATATCTCAGTAATACTTCTCAATATCAATAATATTTCTTTCGTTATTGTCAGTAATATTAAACTACAATTCATCTCTCTATCTATTTCATAAATATAATATAAATATAATAAATATAAATATAAATATAAATATAATAAATATAAAAATAAATATATATATAAATGTAAATAAATATATATAAAATTAAAAATTTTATGTATATTTACTAAATATTTATTATATTAAAAATTTTATTTCATTTATATTTCATTATACGTATATATTGGTTTGTTATTTTAAATAGATAACGAACGAATAATTTTCATTAAGTAGCCAGACATTTATTTGCCGACTTATAAGATCGATTCAATATCTGAAGCCTTTCTATTGAGATTGTATCAAAAATTAAATCGAAATAATATTTCTAATTTTATCTGTCATTCTTTGCAAACTTTATATAATTCTTATGACTAAAACTAAATACGAGAGAGATAGCGATCATAGCGGTAAACGAACTAGCAATTATAAATTTTATAGTGAAATTTACTGGTTTTACAGTGAATTTTACTTTAACAATTGTTAAAGTCTGATCGCGATAGTCATGTTATATAAAAAATTTTAAAAGATTTTTTTATGAGATCGATATACTAACTAATGACATTAATAATAAAATAATCATCACTCAAAAATGACGTCAAAATAATGTTATATCAAGACGCCAATATAAAGTCATGTAACAAATCAGACATTTTGACGACATATGACCAAAAATGATCAGTTGGGGATGATCAGTTTGGGACGTCAAAATGACGTGTGCTTTCTACCTGGGTATATATATATATATATATATATATATATATATATATAGTTATATAATTATATATATACAGATACATATATATAATTATATATAAACTCAGATACATATATACAAACTATATAAACTTTTATAATTAAATAAACTCCCACGTGCTCATAGTTATGGCTATGTAGAAATTTATACATTTGTGTGCATAGGCATAATAATTATGTCTGAAGTTTATTTAATTATATAATAAATAATTAATAATAATAAATATAAAACAGAGAAAAGCTTACCTGTGTGTTTAAGAATATTTATATTTCTTGAGATATATCATGTTTATGGAGAACTTTTATTACTTTTATTACTTTTGTTTATGGAAAACTTTTATTACTTTTTGATGGAAATGAGGAATTTCACATTCAAGAAAACACGTGTATCTGTTTCAAAGATTCACGGCGAAAAAGGAAGAGTAGAGAGGCCTTCCTTATATATTTTTCAGTCATTAATTACAAAATAGATAGAAGTGCATATGGACGCACTTGTTTATAACTAAAAAGGACTTAAGCTAGCGGCACACGATGCTTGTTTTCGTGCTGGATTGCATGCGAGCATTACGATGATTTGACAATTCTTTAATATCGTAATTACGATTGGTCAATTAAGACGCTCACATGCGATCTAGTACGAAAAATCGTACGGTGTGCCGCAGGCTTTAGTTTGGTTTTATCAAGGCGTCTTTAGATGGAAGCGTTTAGCGTCAAGCATAGACATAGTAAGTATAGACCGAGCATCTATTGTATAAGCGTTAAGCATACGAAAAGAAAGACAAAAGATGTAAGATGAGTTTCTTTCTCTTTTCAATGCCGGAGAAGTGGGGAGCACTTCTCCACATTTTCTCGCGCCGGTTCGTCATGGAGGATTATTTATTCATATCAATGTATTCTTTGTATAAGATATAACGTGTGCACGTTGAAAATCAATAAAAACAATATTTTTAATCACGAATGCATGAAACATTGGCATAGGCACACTGCGCTTGTCACACTTTTTGACGCTTTAACGCTCGATGCTCAGACGCTCCTATGTAAAGGCACCTTTAGAGACTATTTGAGGAACATTTTTAAATAAATATTAATTTTAATTAATTAAAATTGAGTTTTTTTTATATGTACTTAATAGCTCATACTGAGACAGGCACAAATAATCTCTTAACTTTTAAAGCACATTTAAAATTTAAACATATATCCTATATATGTCTTAAGAAACTTGTCAATCAAATAAAAAGTTGATAAATCATTCTTATTTTATAAATAAAATAAGAAAAATATTCCGAATAAAACAGAAGGATGGGTAAAAATTTTATTTAAAAATATTATCATCCATCGAGTTTAGAGAAGCAGAAACAATCACTCACTCGAGAGAATTCGAAAGAAAATAATTCGCTCCAGTTTTCTCTTTAATTAAGGATATATATATGACATATATTCAAGCACTAGAAAAAAATTGTAAAAATTTAATAGATAATTTTGTTTCTTTTGAATATCCGTTCAAAATTTGAAAATACAATTCTTTATTTTAAAATTATTTAATTTTTATGTTTGATTATATAATTGATTCTTATAAAAAATAATGTATCAGAACAATTATTAACAAATTTGATGGATAAAAAAACATTACAAGAAATCAAATCATTTTTGCACCTTTTAAGTATTCTTATCTATAAATATTTTCTATCATCAATTAACAGAAAAATATTATACAAGTATATTCTTATAAATAAAAATGTTAAAAATTATATTACTTTACAATATTTTACGTCATTTTATAATCTAAATCTATTTTAAACAATACTAATTTAAGATTTTTAAATAATTTTTTGTTATTTTATATCTCATATATATATTCTTATACTTGCGTGATTAGAAATATCAGAATATAGAAAATTGATATTGTATAGAATTTGACTAATCAAAGTAAAAAGAATAAAATTCTTTATGTTGATTAATTGTGCAATCTCAATCTTCTCTTATAGTTTGATTCATTTTGAGATTCCTATTTCTTCATTGTAGTTATTAAATTAGTATATTAATTAATATATTAAATTATATCATCACAAGAGCAAAATCACATAAAATTTGAAGCATTAATATTGTATCATACACTTAATATCAAATTACTTAAACAAACTATTATTTTATCCTAATTATAACTTAAATGAAGGAGATTAGTTATAATAATAATTATAATTAAAGATTTGTTGTAATAAAATTAAAGTTTTATTCACACTTTTTGTCTTTAATTTAAATCTCTTATAGAATAAAATCTTAAAATCTTACGTATCTCTTTTAATTCAGTAGAAAATTGTATGTCATTATAAGTTTGTTCGTTTTGCTTGCACTTTTTACAGATTCTTCGTTTTTTCTTTCTTTAACACCCGAATATATATATGTAAGCTGTTTTAAATGCAAAAAATTCTAGAGTGCGAGCAAAATGAAGACCTTATAATTAAGAAAAATGGAAGCACGTCATGTACAGGGAAGCTTATATCAGTGTCACACTATATACACATACTTGCACATGTGTGCGTACAATGATCATGACATAACATCGATCCAAAAATACATTTAGCGATGTGAACACTCATTGAATCGACAAAGAGCTAAAGATTTAAGATTATGTGCCAAGTATTTTCTTACAAAATAATAGGTTTTTTTCTCCTAATTGCACTAGTTTATTTACAAGATTTTACATAAAATTGGACGAAAGACTCGAGAGTTCTTACACAATTACTTAAAATTTACGACGCTTCGTGATAATAAAGTCTGAGCGATTTATGAAGAGTGAAATTTTCTAGGCTTTCGGTGCTTTGTTATTTAAAAATTGTGAATATATATTTATATATCAATTTACATGCCGTATATCTATTGAATCCAGTCAGTAGTCTTTGATTATTCTGATAAATTTGAACATTTGAATTTTGTTTAGCATGCACAAAAATACATTATTTTCAATATTATTTCTTTTTCCTTCAACTGCGATAAAGAGCGCCATCTATTTCGCATATCTTCTTATTTTATATACATATATAAATATATAAATATATATATATATATATATATATATATATATTGCACGAGATGTTGAAATAAATATGTATGTACATAATGGCACGACCAAATTCGAAATTTAGTCTCCAGAAATCATTGAAGAATAATATAAACCCGAAACGTGACTTTTACATTTCAATAAGATTTCTTCTGTCTTCCTCAAGAATACCATTGTCTCTACTTTGCACGTTTTCAACTTTATATAATATATCATGACAAAGAGGACATCGATCTTGAACATATAGCCATTTTCGCAAGCATACACCGTGAAAATAATGATTACATTGGGTGATCTTGGCACTCTGCATTTCCTGATAGCAAATTGCGCAAACATCATCTAGTTTTTCAAGCTGCTCGGCTTTTGCTTCTGGTAAAGAGTTGATCTTGTTCACAGCTGTACGTCGCTTCATAAATACGCTCCATCCGGCCTTTGCTTCGCACCAAATGTTGAAATAAGCATGTATACACATCATGATGGCACGAATAGCTCCACCAGACTCAAAGACTAGTATCCAGAAACCATTGAAAAACAGTATAATGCCAAATGCAAATTCTACAGTGTTGCCGAATGATCGTATAATGTATACACAATCATCGAATTGTTCCCAGAACGCGCTTCTATACGCGTCAATCAGAAAGAGCGAATAAATTGCAAGCGAGACCACTACTTTGACTATCACTTCGATGCTGAAAACCGATACGGCCAATAACCACGTGCTGACAGTAAAGTGAGACCAGAGGAATATAAGTAATGATATCGGAAAAAATATAAGAAAGGCACAAACTGCCAAAGCTCGCAAATGCCTGTGTAGAGCTGGATTATGGGAAGCACTGAGCGACATTAAAAGCGGATTCACTATATTGTGCACAAAATGTAAAATTGCCGTGAACAATAGGCAGAAATTACGATACAATCGTACTAGACGCTTTTCTCTATCAAGACTTGTCAGTCCGGTCTGCAAAGCAAGAATGTAGAACAATATAGCGGACACTGTGCCAATACTCTTCTCATCCTCATCTTCTGTTAACAGTACCCATTGGAAGAAACAGCCAATATAATGGCAAATGAAGGAGATTATGCTGGTCATACCGAGAACAGCTGTTAAAGTTTCGCAACCATTTACCAATAGCGTCCTAATCATGACGTAATAATTAAATGTTTCTTCGCCATAATGATTTCCCAAAATTTGAATGACCTGTTCTCCCACTCGTAATATCCAGAATGTTCGAAGTACGCATGGTACGTTTAGACGCATCCATTCTGTTTCCGCGAGAGCAGATAAACCGTAGTTGATTATAAAGTTGCGCGCATGTCGATAGCCCATGTAGAGTGTTTTTAACATAGAGATGCCATTATACCAGATGATAAATTTGCACACAGCTAATGGAATTAACGTCGCACATACTGGCGCATGATATAAATATTGTACCTAGAAAAAAAATATATACATTTGATATTTTATTAACAAACCTACAATATTTTTTCTTCCAAATTATTTTTTTCATCGACATTATGATTTCATTAAAAAAGGGAAGCGGAACTTACCGGTAAGGGATGAATACCCAAAATAGATGGTGACATAAAACTCAATACAAGCAGTTTTTGTACTATAGGATTTTTTGGGGCAAGATGAATGTAACAAAAGATGCTGGCCAACAAACATTGTAGTATATAATTTTGAATAATCAGTAAGCCTGGACCATTATACAGAACGTCTGATAAATTCAGGGATAATATGTTGTCAAGTATGCTGGTTGCAGATTCATGAGAATTTATATAAGCTATAATTGCTTTCATTGTACTAACATTTGACCAATATGATACAAATATCACCCCAACGGATATTAAGTATAAGTATACAATTATTAAATGTCTAGTACATAACATAAATGTATATAAAGCTACAAGGCATCCTGAAAAAATATAATAAAACTATGAGATACAATTAATTTTTAATATAAATTTTGTGAAAATTTTAGAGAAATTTAACAATAGATGTTATTTCGATTTGTAATTTTTAAATGTGAAGGAATATATATTTTCTGAATCTATATATATGTATAATTTTTCTTTTTTCCTTGTTTCTCAACAGTTTAAGCTGCAATCAGAAATTCACATGCTTAGTATGAAAAATTTTATTTGTACAAAATAGCAATAATTATCTAAAAATCTCTATAGAGATTTATATAAATAAAATACAAGGATGAATCAGAGATTTCTATTAAACATTTCATCAAAATAGATATAAAATTATATAGAGATACATAAAGAGATATAAAATAATATCTCATGTTTTGAAAAATTTTGTTTATATATAAATAAAAGTGCTTACCATCATACATAAAACAATTTTGTAAATTTACTGACTGCAACCTTGATTTTTATTAAAGGGAAAAAAGATATATATATATAATTTATAAAAATTACAAATAGAGAAATTTTACTCACCCAAACAACAGGATAAAAATTTGAATACGATTATCAAATAAGTTTTATAAGCGAAACGAGTGAAGTCAAACTGCTCCATCAGGAACGAATCTGTTGTAACTGCAGAAATAGAATTAACAATTCCTACATTGATAGTTTTGAAACTATTTTCAGTACTCTCCAGCACAATATTGTCGTTAGGTAATCCAAGACTAATTCTGAGTAACTCATCGATTATAAATAGAGGTGGCACTCTCATTATAACATCAGCAAAGCTGAGGATCCTTTCTCTCATTGAAGTCTCCATTCTGTTAATATTGTTCTAAAAAACGTCGAGGAAGACACGTTTTTCATGCACAGCTTAGTATTGTATATGGAAGCAGCATTCCGGAATTCAAATACTTCAAAAGCTTCACCTAATACAACATAAAAATTAATTTTATTTTTTACACAATACATAAGTCTACAAAAAAATATACTCAATATTTAATTTAATATTGAATATTTATATTATTATATTAAGAATTTATACTTAATATTATATATTTTTTAATATTATATATAATATATATTATTATATTATAAATAAAAAACTTTAAAAAAAAATTATTTTTTACCGATTTTCAAGTTAATATTTTATGCATGCATACGTAAGATTTGTCTAAGAAAAATTCAACTCCACATCAATTAAAATTTTTGACACTTTCTTTTTTCTTTGCATAAGGTTACCTGTCAAAATGTATACTACATACATATATCTATTGCATCATACATATGCATGTATAAAAATAAAAACCTCATGTATAATATTTCTGATTAGTTTATATAATTTGATTAATTTACAAAATTAATTTCATTACACATATTTTTTATATTATTGATTGTTTTTTAAATAGAAATCACACGCATATATATACATATATATATATATATATATATATATATATATATATATATGTCTTGTATGTGTATACAGAACAAACATAATTAAAATATTTAACTATATATAATTTTAAAATATTTTAATAATGTATAATTTAAAAATAAAAATAACTTTATTCCACTTTCAAAATTATATGTCAAATATTTATTACATTTTTAATCCAGTGTAGAACCAATAAATATTGCTAAGGATTAAAAGTATAATATTGACACAGCTTTAATATAAAAAAGCAATCATTCCTTTTGGTTATATAACAAAGACACGCTTAAATTTTTTAATAATTAAAGCGAAATATAACGGCACTATGTTTTTGAAAATAAAAGAAAAAAATCGTTTCACTTCTCTCTTTATACGTACAATACGTACAATATTATTATACGTACAATATTATATAATCACATAAAAAAAGTAACAGTGAAAAGAAAGGCAAGCGTAAGAAAGGGTAAATGTAAATAATAATTCTAACGGTAATTATAACCTCAAAATAGGATCTTTTAAAATCCATTCTCAATACAATGATATATGAGTTTTTCAAATTTAATACGTGCTCGTGAGAAAGAATAAGGAATATTTTTTTCTTCCACAAAATTAACATAAACTGATTTTTTTCCTCGCGAAAATCAAACGATGAAAAATCTTATCCGCAAAAATTGCTGAGGAAAACTCACCGAGCGGCGAAAACCACCGAGAAAGGAAGTCGATTCACAGGTTACATTTCGTAATGGTGCACTTGACCGCAATGACTTGACGAACATTTATGGATGACTTTGAATAACTCGAATCGCGAATCGAAACGCGAGGCACGCATATTCGTTCACCACATCTCGTTTTCTTATGACGGTTCACGACGCCATCGTCTGGTCGTAACTCGTTTCATTCTTTTATATTCTAGGGACTCTGATCACAGCTGTCAGAAGTCGCGACTCTCTGAAAGAGCGGTATTTTTTGGAACTACTTTTAACAAAAGATGAAAAAAAAGATACGACAAAACAATATAACATGATTATTCTTCACTTATTATACGAAAATTTTTCATGTTTTTGTCAATCACGACACCTATGTTAGGGAAATTATATACGTAAAATAAAAATATAATTTGTCAGGGTTGAGCATTTATTGGTAAACTATAACAGTCTATGTATGTTTCGTTATGTTGTATTACATAGTTTAAACGAAATTTAATTTTTATACTTTATGCCATAAAAAATCTCAATAAAGGATTTAATAAATTGGATTTCATACTGACAAAAAAAAAGAAAATATAAGAATATATATATTAATATTATACATTAATACTATTTTATAATTACTGTTTGTTTGAATTGATAATTTATAATAATATATACATAGTAGTTTGTATGAAAACATTCCATGTAAATATGATGTAGATAATACATAAAATCGTGTAAACATAATTTTAAAATTTATGGCACAACCCTGTAATTTGTATAATAAAAGTTGTTTCTCTCTGATGTGATATATATGTATATATATATATAATGTATAAAAAAAATTATGTATATATATACATACATAATTTTTTTTCTTTATAGTTGACGTCAATGTCTATATTCACCGTCCAGGTTTCCTTTTTTTTTCTTTTTCTTTTTTTTTACATATGATCAACGATTGTATTTCTTTTTGGATATATGCACATGAAAAAGTTCACTCGTTGTGAAGAGACTCGATTATGTTCGTTATAAGAAATCTTACATCCGGATTACTGCATAATCGTGTTAAATAGAGCTTCAATCTCTTCTGTTATTAATATGTAATACAATAGCTTTTAACATCACATCGAAAAAACAGATCTTGTGCCAAGATTCTATCATGTTCAGCATCAACGTTGAAATTGTCTCGTATACGAATGCAATAATAATAGGGCATTTTTATAATTTTGCAATTTTCTCAAAAAAATAATTTCTTTCGACAAATTTTTTATAAAAAAAAATTTTTATTTTCTTATATTATTTTACTTTTCGTTAATAAACTATAAATTTTGTGTGGAGGAGTCAGGAGAAAAGTATAGGCACGAAATCAAATGTAAGCATTTATAATTATATATAAAACATGTTCATGTATGTTTTTCTTGCCTTTGTATAATCTCTATATGAAAAAAATAGAATTGAAAAATAATTTAAAAAAAATTTTTGCATTTTGTTTTTCTTAAAAAGCTTTTTTAAATTTATATTTTTCATAAAAAGAAAAAAATGCAAAAATTTTTCTAATTATTCTAATGTACAGAGATTAAATAAGAGAAAGAAAAACATATATAGAGGATTTTTCTCTATATATAATTATATATATTTATATTTGATCATAAGTAGATTTTATGTATAGGTGGCCCTTCTTTTCGCAATGCTTTATCTTCAAGACTGCTTGTCGCAATATTATGTGTATTTTAATCGCCTAATAAATTCAATAGTTTATATATATAGTCAAGCATCACAGGCATCGCCCTATCTATCTTGTTGAGTCGATCAGATCATTACATTTTTTTTGTAAAGCTATATGTAGCATTTAGTGAAATAAAAAGATAAATGTCTGTAACACACTTGTAATAATTTATAATAATGTATCGATATAGCAGCAAATTATTATAATATATAAAAAAAAATAAAATTGATTTTACTGTATATCTTACATCTTACTCTCTGCAATATCTTATAGATTGTACAATTTTGTATGTCGTGAATGTCTTATATATATTTTCAATGGATTCATATCATACTTGTGTATTTCTGTTCATTCATTTCAAGGAATTAAAACACTATATTATAAAAAAACGTAATAATACGCAATTTATTGGCTCTCAGCGCACAGGATGTCCGAAGCATCTTTGATTATAACTTACTGGTACTTATATGAAATCGTTTAAATAATAGCATAAATATAAAAAGTGTCACATATATAATTAGAATGTATTATTTAAAATGAAAATTTTCATTAATGTTTAAATCACTAATATTATGCAAATTTCGACAAATTATTAACAATATCAATCGTGATCTTATAAATTTAATTGAATCAATTTTAGGTATAATTCTGCTAATGCGTATTCTCTCTTTAAAGAACTATCTATATTCGTTCTTATAAAAAATTAAGAGATCCTGGAAATTTGTTCAATGTTGAGAATTATTTGTACATACACATATATCAAACTTATTAATATTTTAAACTTTGATCATTTTTATAATTTTGGTGATCTTCAAAGCAAGTTTTTTTAATGAAGAAGCTTTGCATTATTTTTAACATAGAAAATTACATTTTGTGTGCATATATATTTTTTCATTATATTTCAATTTTGTCCCTATATAAATCTGTAACTTTATTCTTACATTATCACGAAGCTGTTTTTTCATACTATATAATTTATTTTAGAAATAGATTTATGCTATCACAACTTTCATATTTAAAACTCACACGCAAATATTTTTGGTTATACATAATACAATACTTTACCTTTGTAAAAAAATGTTTCCAAAAAAATAAAATTTGTTTTTTAAATTTTCTGTATAGTTTCTATATATTATATAAAAAATAATACTAGGAAATTATAATATCGATTATATATATGTATATATGTACAAAATATAATTTAACGTATAGCATCTTTTAAAACGCGTGTATTAAATTGTTTAATGACTCGCAATTATTAAATGACTGATATTAAAAATTTAAATAATTTACACATATTTATCGATTAATTTTTTATGAGTATTTCTATTATTTTATCATTAGCGTTATTTATTGTATAAAATTTGTCAATTTGTGTAGATTGTTTGTGTAGATTACACATTTTGCATCAATATCATACTAGTATCATATTTTGTAGAGGATTTTAATATTATATTTTGTATATATTATTTCAATATTTTTATATTTATTGTTGCTTAATAAAATTTTATAATATATAATAAATAAGCGTCGTATAATTGACTAAAAAAATTAAACGATTAAAAAATTCAACGTGTGAGTTTTCAATATAAACGGTCTAGTTTTATGTTTTTGAATATTTATCAAAGTTACATTATGCTGGTGTGTATATTATTCAGCAAATATATATTTTATTTATATAAACTCTGCAAGCCCAGCTTACCATCGTCAAATGCACTTTTAGGTTTATTTTATCCATGTATGAAATTGCTGCCTTATATCTGTAGGAGAGTATAAGAGTGTCAATAAATTATTAATAAGATTAGAAAAAATGTATTCCATATCTATCAGATTTCCATTTACTCCCGATCGGGCAATTTTAGAAAATGACAATTGATATACATTGGTTTAAATCGGCGCCACACACTTATTGCTCGATACATTTAATGCAGCAACATTTAGTTTTTTTAGACATAATGGAAGAAAAAATCGATTACTTTCCATTATTTTTGACTCGTATTGGCGACTAAGACAAATAACTGATCTGTAAAAATAACTAACCAAAATATAGGCCTATCATGTTTTTAACATGTGGTGATATTAAATTGTGTGTATACATATATATATATATATATATATATATATATATATTATATATATATATATGTGTGTGTGTGTGTGTGTGTGTGTGTGTGTGTAATTTAGAGAAATTAGTTTAATAAAATCAATCTTGCTGATAATGGTAACTGTATTGGCGATGATCATTATCTCGATTTCGTAAGCAAAACTATTGATAAATATTATTTATTCTGTATTCTCGTAATTTTAAGGTCACGCTCGGGTTGATTATTAATTGCAAAGCGAAGGGAAACTTGCTTCAACACGGTTGTTGCATATTTTTTACGTTTATAGTTGACTGGGAAATATCGTGCGTGTAACAATATAAAATTAGGATATTACAATAATTACAGATTAATTTCGTTGGCACGACTGATTTCGTTTTTCTCGCGCTAGTTAGGCATTTAATTAAGAAAAACTTAATACTTTATACCACGTATTCGTATTGATCGTACGTAAAAACGAGCTAACAAGCAACTCGTAATTCTACTCACATCGCTGTCCACTTCACCAATGCGATAATCAAACACCCTGTGGTCTACAGTGATCACGAATAGACTGCACCGTACAATGGCACAATTTCTATAATACAAGCACAAAAAATTACTAATTATTAGTTATTTATAAATCATATTAACTGCCAACACGAGTCTGCGAATTAGATGAATCACATATTCTGCCAAATGCGTATGTCTCTTTTCATTTGCAAATATATTTGAGCTAGCGAACTCGATAGCCTGGAGAGTTATGCGAGTATAATCTCGTGTTTGCATCTCTTTTCAATATGCACAAAATATGTGCGCGACAAAGTATGAGGTGCAATCCTGTATGTCTCTATGTATGTGTATATAGCATGTATGAATGTGAGCTGCGTGGACGGCGCTACGTACACCACTCCTCGGTCAGTCAACCACTGACAGACTAGCAGTCGACTATCGTCAGTATTACTCGGACACCCGGTGGTTGCATTGGGAGCTCTCATCAGTTCAACGTGCCTAGCTCACGTTAATATGTACCGTTGTATAATCTACAAGGAGATGGATGATTACAGAGAGTCAAATCAGAATATAGCGATATTTTGAAAATAATCCGAGAAAATAATTCGGGATGTCTACTCTCTAGAAAATGTGAAAAAAATAAAGGAAAAGTATTTTATTAATTTTTAGAACTGCCGACATTTTTTCGTTAAAATATTGGTTTTTTTCCTAAAAATTTTTCTATATAAATAACATACATAATGCAGAACTTCGAGATTTGTTCAGAGTCACAAAAGTGGCTTTCCCGACAGTTTACAAGTTTAAAAAAGACTGACAAGTTTGCTCTTATATCATAAGCAATTAATGATCCGCCAATAAACCAAATTGTGAAAATTGTGTATGTTTAAAATATATTATAAATATATTTATTAATTGACAGAAAATGGCAAGTAAAAATCATGGTAATTAGAAAAATAAAAAAATAAATAAAAAAAATTGTCTTTCATCTTTCCTTTTTTATTTAACGTATAAATAAAAATAGGTTTAAAATAATAACAATTAAGTAATAAAAAATGGCAAATAAAAACCAAGATATTATAGTATTAGAAAAAGAAAAGGTGTTTTTTTCTTTTTTATTAATATATTACAAAATATTCAATTTCATTTTGTTAAAAATTAGATATTAAGTAATATTTTCATACTTGTAATATTTTTTAAGGAAATTGATATCGCATCTTGGCTTTTATTTGCCATGTTTTATTACTTAATTGTAATTATTATTTTAAACCTATTTTTATTTTTATTTATAAATATATTTAAAACATATACACTATATATTATATTCAATGTACAATATATATTCTTTATTGTAATTTTTAATGTTAAAAAAATGAAAACGTGTTATCGAAGTAAAATATGTTTATTTTATGAAACTGATCAAAATTTTTTCCAGTATATTTATAAAAATCTAGCATTTGAAACTGAAGTGTTCTGTTTTTCCTTCATACGAATACAAAATATTAAAACATACATACATTAAAAAAAAGGTTGCACTAAAGTATTTTTTAAATATTTTTTTATCTGAAATTTTAAACAAAAATATTTGAAAAAAAATCAAGAAATTTTTTTACAAGATTGAGGGGAGTAGACATCCTAAAATATCATTGTTAATATTCAAATTCTCGACATACTTGCATACAGATGTGCTAGAGTTTGTCTTGGAATAGGAAGAGATTGTTCGTAGCAGCGACAGCCACCACATTTTCAGATGGATGCCATGCAGTGTGAAGTATCTTCTTATTGAAGTCCAGACAGTCAACGCTAATCTCATCTTTCTTGCGCTTACCACCCGTGCATACCTATACATGTAAATCTTCGATTGAGTATAAAAATCTTCATGAATAAAACAAGATCTTATAAATGTACTAACCTTTCTTGGCTTCAGGAGTGTTTTTGGTTTGGCAATGTCGCGCGCTGCCTCTAAAGTGAGATCGCGTTTGGTCGTACGATCGAATACTCTAAAGAAATTATTATACGAGCCCGTCATGATAGCCGAGTCATTACCACTCCAACAACATTCAAATTTGTCGAAAATGCAGTCATTTTCGTATAATGAACATAATTTTGATCTTAAATATTCATGTACCTATTGTAACAAAATTATATTAGTGAATGTACATATAAAAAATATTGCTTTCTTTACAAAGGATCACAAACTTACGGGATAGCATTCGATTGGTTTCGTTTCCATTTGCAAATCCCACACTTTTACACTGAGGTAGTCTCTACTAATCATGTATCTGCCAGAATTACTGAGCTTCACATCACTTATGCTTGAAATAATTTCTGAGAAAAAACTTCTATTGGTTGGATCCTCTGGCTCCTCAAAGAGCTTACTATGCTGATCGCACAGAGCAGCGGATCTCATATCGCAAAGTCTAATAGTTCCCTTACTACTACTGTATACCAATACATTGCATTCCGCAGGATGAAATTCCGCTGCAGTTATAACCTCCGTTAATTCTTCCATATTAGTTGGTTTAATGTCTACTATATCTGTATATAAGAGTTAAGAAAATTATATCTTGTATTCCATTATATTGAAATACTATAAATACATGCACATAAACATATGTATACATGTGTTTAAAAAAAGGATACTAAAACTCTGGTCAGTTATCTCAAGGTGCCAAAGATTAATTCTAAGATCATCAGCACTGAGGTATGTCTCTTGATCACTGTTGACACTTATACTGTTTATGTGATAGGTGTGCGCATTGGCAAATATTCTCCTTGGTGATGCCTCCACCATTAACTCCATTGGTTTTATGGTTGGCACCTATAATGCAATAATGTACATACATACATACATACATACATACATACATACATACATACATACATACATACATACATACATACATACATACATACACACACACACACACACATATGAGAAATCTTGAATATAATTAATATCATTTGAGATTATATCATTTTAAGAGAGAATAAAATTTCTACAAAAATTACTTTTATATATATTAAATGTGTGTGTGTGTGTGTGTGTATATATATATATATATATATATATATATAAATTATAAATATTAAAAATTACTCTTATTTGTCTGTTTGCAACATGCACACATAAATAATAAATATCAAAATCAAATCGAAATATATTTACCCTCAAGGCAGTGATGCAGGCAGGATCACGGATCGCGCCACTTTCTTCCTTAGTATTATACCCTTCCACTCTTTTATCTCTCTCACTAACTTTCCACAACTTGATTGTTTTATCGTTCGTGGAGAGTAAAAAGTGGGCAGGGTTTTTCCTTTTTAGCCATCTAATTTTATTAATTTTTTCTTCTATCTCTAATGATTTTAGGTAATCAAATTCAGGCTCATGGCTCTGGAAAGTGCTATACACATTGTATTCGCCTCTTCGTGGTATACTGTTTTTACTCTGTACAAATAATTTTGTTTATTATTTCAACAATAGGTATATTTTATCCAATATAGAAATTCAATTACATATCAAATATCATATTGAAATATTCAAATATTATACTGGGATATTTATGGTTGTCTAATTTTGTAACACTGATCTAGAATAATTCAAATATCAGGCTTAAGAAGGTTTACAACCATCTAATATCTTTCAACATATCCATTTAACCACTTTATCAACGTCATCTTACAAGCTCAAACGATAGTGTGTACCTTTAATAGGTTTACTGAAGAGCTATTTTGATTCAATAGAAGATAGGAGAAATACCAAATTACTAAATGTTACATAAGCTTTGTAGGGATAGTACAAATACTCTCGTATATTGATTTAGAAAAATTAAAAATAATAATACAAGATCTTGATATAAATATATGAGTAGTATTTTTTCTTGCGATAAAATCTTATATCATGAATAAGAGATACATTAAATTAATCAATATCAATATATAACAATAATGTATTAATTCATTATTTGAATTATAGTAAATACAATAAAAAATAATGAATAAAGTAGAAAATGTATCTATGTGCAAATTGCATCTATTTATCAAATTTATAATAAATTGCACTTACAATAGGATCTCTCTGAAAAATGACGACACGTCCACCCTTATCTCCTGTTGCAAGGAGATCGCCATCGTGGTTAAATTCAACGCACGAAATTATATCAGCTGTAATAAAAATAAAAGCAATTTTTGTACAGAATGCAATAAAATTTTGTGCAATTAAATAAATTATTATCATTAATAAATAGTACAGAGAATAAAATTATGAAATAAATGAAATCAAGATAAAAATTTTGAATCTTAATACATATGCAAAGCTATATATGATCCGCGACTAGTTCTTTTTATTTTGATATGTGTAAACTGATAAGATAAAAGACAGTCTGTTTCTTGAGCTAAGCAAACACAGGTCAAACTTGCCTTCTGTAACATCCTCTTCTAAAGTTCCTTTGACTTGTGAGAAACACCACTGTATGTCACCATTGCCTGTAATAAAATATAAAGAAATTTTAAAATATCCTTTCCTTTCTCTTCACACTCGTTTCAGATATTAACATATTATTGGATGTTTATAGAAAATATTTTTTACAATAGTCAATTAACATTTTATAAATATCTTAATCAGAGGATCTCAGTGCATTTCAGTTCTTTTGCCACTAGTAGCTTATAAAGCTTGCAATATGTTATGACAAGCAAACAAAGGAAACGAAGAAAACAAAGAAAATGCAAGAGCAGGAAATGAAGGATTTATACAATACTTATACTATTTCTATTTCGTTACTTTACAATCAAATATATATGAAAACAGCGTAATTTTTTGGACAAAATAAAATATATATATTAAAATAAATATAAAAATTGCACACTTTTCTTTATCTATGAGTTTTTGAATAAAATATATATTAAACATATTTTTAGCCATTTTTTAAATAGGCATATAGATTTGATGCCTTTTTTCTTTATTTTAATAAAGCAATAATTTTTTATCTTGTAATCTACAGCTTTTATGAAGAATTTTTAAGTCAATTATTTTCAAAATAATAAGCTATATATATAGAATATTTAATCCATCAATTTATACACACTCTACACATGGCCAAAATAATTTAATTTACTCAATGTCTTGCAAGAGCTCTATTTTAATCATATATCAAGTTTTCATTTATAAGATACAAAAAGTAATGCAATATTTGGAGAAAAAGATTTGCGAAGAACTCTTCACATGGTGGATCACTAAAATTACAAACTATTGTATTGTAAATTATAAAATAATTATTATGTATTACGATTTTTATTTTCACACTATATTACAATCATTATAAAATAAAAAGAATTATTTATAATTTTCATGAATAATTTTAAAATTACACCACGAAATAAAGGAAAAAGGAAAAAAGAAGGAGAAAGAGGATTAACACGTAAAAATTAAGAGAGAAATCTGGTAAAACACATTTTTAACGAAGGAGAATAAAAAGCAAAATCGTCGTCCCGGTGCGTTCAGGGCACCTGTGGCGCAAAGAGGAAGGAGAAAAACTGCGAAATTATAAAGCGTTAGCGTTATCAGAGGAGCGAGGAGCAAAAGTAAGGCGTCCGTAAAGTAAAGCGTAAGTGAAACAAGAACGACGAGGAAAAGAAAAATGAAAAAAAAAAAACGAGAAAATAACACGAGTGTCTCCCGACCACTTTCGGCTCGAAGAGACACGCCGCAAGAGACAGCAGGAAGATTATTGCGAAGTGGTAAAGCGGGCGGGAAGAGAGCGAGGGGGAAGACGCGAGAAACGAAGATGGCTGGCAACGCACGACGGAGTTGTCCTCCTCCTGCGAGAAGATCCGCGATAATACACGATGCACACAGGACAGAGAGGAAAGAGTTACGTGTGTGTATGTGCAAAAAACACAGGGCCAGATGCAGCGGGCGGGCGGGCGGGCAAGGGGGGAGCGGGGGGAGGTGAAAGTGTGTGAGGCCTACTTGAAGTTTCGGCGTAATCCATCGCGTGCGTTTTCTAGGCCGTCGCTGTCGCCGTCGCCGCTGCCGTCGTCGCCGTCGCCGGCGACGTAGCCGAGTATCCGCCACCCCCTCCCCCCACGCGCACACGAGGAGAATCCCGGGAGTGTGTGTGTGTGTATATATGTATGTGTGTGTGCGCGAAGGACGCGCTTTATTATTCGAGGAGAGAGGATCGCGAGGAGGTCCCTCTTTCCTTCTAATCTGGGTCAAGGTTCGCGAGGAGGTCTCGTCGACGTATATATCACGCTGCCGGTTTCTTTCTCTCTTTCCTTGGAAAATAATGAGGAGAGGCTGATGTGAGAGCGGCTACTTACCGGCCATCTCTCGCACGCGCGCACACAACGGGAAGGGGGACAACGTCTCGACGACACGACACACGCGGATCGCGGGGGGAGTCTCCCGGTTCTCGAGTTTGCTTCCGATTCCGAGTTGATTCGCGGGAGCGGAGTCGCTCGCTAGCCGACGAGAGAACGGAAAGGCATGTAAGCGCGCACGCGGTACGCGGCGCTGACGTGTGGGTGGTGGTTTCTTGTTTGACGCGCGCGCATGCACGCACGCACGCACACATACACACACGAGGGAGAGAATACCGGGGGGATCACCTCTCGTCTCTCCCGGGTCACATTATTCTCCCGGTTCTCGACGGTTTCGCGAGTGTAAAAGCGCGGCTCTTTCTTTCTCTCGGAGTAACTCTCGGAGAGGTCTCTCTCTCTTTCTTTCTTTCAATGGCGGAAGTTCATAGGCGCACGTATAACCCGCACGCAACGCGACGACTACGCGGCGTGACGTCACTGCGCGGATCAGGTCGCTCGGTGTCTTCGGCGGTAACCACCATCTTACGTTGAACGTACGGAGTTTGCGCGAGAGTCTGCGGGCCGGAGACGGCCGAGGATAGCCGAGGAGGCGCGAACGGCCAGTCAGCGACGCGGCAAATTCAAAAAGCAAAGAGACGCATTTTTTTTCCGGAACAGATAATTTTGAAGGATGCTTTGTATGTAATCCTAGCAAAAAGTAGCTGAAAATTAATATTCAATATTTTTTTTTTTTTTTTTTTTTTTTTTTTTTTTTTTTTTTTTTTTTTTTTTTTTTTATGTAATCCTAGCAAAAAGTAGCTGAAAATTAATATTCAATATCAATTGAGTTCTATCTTTTTTTATCAGTTAATTTCTAATGAACAGATAATTTGAAATTGAGTAAGTAATGTGTAAAATATTCCACTTATATTCGTTACGATATTCTTGTTGTACTAAGAGAAAACACTAAATTTTAGACGTTTATATCTACTGGTCTCTTTGCTTGAAAAGTTGTTTCTTTTCAACTGATAATTTCTCTAGGAACGTAAAAAAAAATTGAAATCCTATTCAGAGTCAAGAAATAATCATTTACTCTCCCTCACGTCTTCGTATGAAAAAATTACTTCTCGTCGAATATAATCGCTTATATCATACTTTCAAAATTCTCACGAATTTTCGCTAATCGTAGCAAACCATTTCTGCAAGTTTATATCCACAATTTTAAGGATGTTTTGTATGTACAATCCCAGCAAAAAGTAGCTGAAAATCAATATTGACGAATATCTATTTTTGATATATTTTGAATATGAGGAATTGTATGGAATATTACAATTTGATTTTAGCTACAATGCAGAGATGTATTTTTTTAATATTTATTGCATTTTTATTGAAATATTCCGAATTTTCTTAATCGAAATGATTAACTTTTGACAGAGAATTTCGCCTTGTGACAGATACATGGCTAACTTGATTGAATTATATTTAATATCTTTTTACCCAGTTAGTACTTGTATAATATTATTTGACCAAATATTTCCTCTGTATCTAAACTTTCGCAAATTTTAAACAAATTTTGAATATTATTTCCACGTGTTTTTGTCATTTGAATCGTGATTATACGTTTCCCATAAGAACACATGTTAATTCGGTGCAAATTAAAATCCTTGTAACTTGTGAACGCTTTAGTAAATCGATTTAAAAATTGTACTGAAGATTCCAAACATATGTAAGGACATTCTGTACAATTTTCGTTAAATTTTCAATATTTTGAAAATAGATACAAAACATCCCAAGTATATTTATTTATGTATTTAGAGCGACAGCTTGTTGTGTTTGTTGCTCTCTTTCATTATAATTTGGTGTCGATTTAAAACAAGCGCTCCAATTATATTGAGAAAGAAATGCGAGCAGTGATACATTTTCAAGAGGCCAAATATTGCAAAAAATCTTTATTCTGATATCTTTATTCTGATATGTTAACAAACGCATGCAATATGTTAAGAGAACGAAAAATGCATAATAAAAACAAGCACAATAAACACTCATTAAATAATTACAAAAAATGAAGAATTAAAGAAATTGGAAAACATCAGATAGATAAACCTTGAATGTTCATTATGTTGATTAATACAATTATGAATATGGTGTTATAAGTAAACAGAATATTTTTATCTATAAATAACAAAATAAAAAATAAAAAAATTCTTTTTTTATAAAATTAATTTTCACTAGGAATGGAAAAAATGGGAAAAAAGAATATGCCACCGCAACAATTTTATTAAATCTCTAGGAGGTTTTCAAGATATATATATACATATATATTCAACTCTATTAATAAATACTTAATTTAGTCTTTTACAGGAGAATTTAATATAATACAAAATCTTTTTATTTATTTATGATTATTATATTGAAAAAAAATATATCATCTTTCCCACCCAAAATTCCATGAACAAAATCTTTCCTTCGTCATCAACATCCTCTTCAAAAACTCCTATCCCCTCCAGTTTATTCATAGAATTATTTGATTTTTTATTCAGCCCACCTTACAAGTCCTCTCAAGTTCTTTTCCTAGATCAAACTTTTTTGTTATTCCTTATATTAAAGGCATTCTAAAAAGATTCTACTCATTGATTCACGATAGTGGTGGTAAATTAGCGTTCTCAGTGAATAATAAATTGAACAGCCTCATTAAATTACATAAAGATCTTTACCTAAAATGAATCATAAAAATATTATTTATAAGATTTTATACAAGGATTGGGACGCACCTTACGTAGAGCAGACGTTTAACGATTTAATTAAAAGAACATAAGTCTATTGTTAATTATTCTTCTGACTCCCATATAGTCATTTCATCTCATAGACTCCTGAATCACGATTTTAATTGGAAGGACACAATAATCCTTGTTGAAAAACCTTTTTATAGAAAAAGACTTGTTTCTGATGCTACATATCAGCTAGCAAAAAAATGGGTTGACCCTATAAAATGATATCTCATTATTGGATGACTCTTACCTCCCTATTAAAAAATGCCTTGCTTTTTTAAAAATTCCGCTCCTTTGCCTCCCACTTCCTAAGTTCCCTTTTTCCCCTTCCCCTCGTCTTTACTTCCCGCTCTTTTCCTCCCCCCTTCCTATACCTACTTCTCCTTTCGTTAGTTATTGTTCAGTCTTTTCACGATCGCAATTCTTCACCGTTAGGTATGGTTTTATCTCGATTCTCTGTTTTCCATCTTCGTAAGTATTAAATTTAGACTCTCGATTTCGCTTTATATTATCCTGGCATTTTTGTTAACGGATTTTTAGGATTTTGAATTACTAGTTATTTATTACTTTTGCTTGGCATGAGTTTCTTTATTCTTGATATGTATTGCTCTTTTTTGTGCTTACACAGGCTTCCACCTCGTTCATCGATTAAAGGAATCAATTTGTTTCTGCCCGCTCTCCTGAGGATCAATTTAGAGAGACTCCCAAAAAAATTTTTACAAATTTTTGACCAGGCTCAATTTTAATTCTACGACTTAATGACTAATTTACAAATTTGGGGACTTTTTAATCTTCCTTTTTATTGCGTTTTGATTAAATAATATATAAATAAGTTATTATAAATAAAGTAAAGTAAGTTGTAAAAAGTTGTGTTTTTTCATCAAGATCAGTATATAGAAAAATTTTTATCCATTTACTTAAGTTTATGTTTTATTTTTCATTTATATTTTATTTTTGAAGCACTTTTATCACATTTTAATAGAATTCAAAATTCTTAACAAAAATTGTGATTGAATATCTTTCTAAATTCTAAGAAAAGCTATATCATAAGAATAAGAGCAAATTTGAAATTTTAAATATCATATTCTTTTTTCTTACATTAAAATTAATAAGAATTTATTATTTTACAGACAGAAACATTTTTCATATTTAACAGTGTTATTAGAGAAGTTTTTTGCGATAAATAAAATTATTCATATCATGTTGACATATCATATTAAATAGAAAATTTTATTGCAAGAATACATTAAAAATATTTAAAAAGAGGAGCTGGTTTCATTATGTACTACATGAAAGTGTAATCTTTTTAAGCTAATTATTATCGATATTTTCTCTGCGTTTAATATATGAAATTAAAATGTCTCTCATAAATATATATTTAGATTAAAATAATATATATAGCATTCATTCGCAAAAAAAAATATCATACAAGTTATATTTTTAATATTAACATTTTAAATTATAGCGTATAATATGGCATAAAATATACACATATATATGTATATATATTTTTTTTTCATATATAAGAAATTCGTAAATCAAAATACTGTAACTGTAGGAAAATTTTCGAAAAATTAAAATAAAAATAAAAATATCTATAAATTTTTATTCCAAGTAGAATAATTTTTGAGAAATTTATATAAAAGTTTAAAACAATTCGTTACAATATCATATAAGATACGTTTAAAAAGTTGCTTATTTGTGAATTGTACATCGCTAATGTTAGTGGATACGCGACTTATTAATAAACAATTGTTTACGTATCCTATGATTGGCCACAAAGTTTTAAATCTTTATATTACAAAAACTATTGCTTGCAATAAAAAGTCGCAAGTAACTATTACTTTATAATTTCTCGAAAATTTTCCTGTTATAGTATTTTGATTTGTAAAGTTTGGAATATTTTGTATATTACTTGTATATTATTAATTTTTATATTTGTAATATATTTTAACATTTGTATTTTTTTTTGTTTAACAAGATTATAAAATAAAGAGAATTAAAAACTGGAGAGACATTTGAATATAAAGTATGCAAAGTGTTTTGAAATAATGTTTCCATAAAAAATAGTAACCGACGCAAATAACTTAGTACGACGTAAGATGTGCATATTTTCTTTCTTTTGTCACGGAGTGCATTTTAAGAGTCTTCTCGCATTCAGCAAAATGCATCTTCGAATAATGACCCGTCATACATTTACTCGAGATAATGTATCTGCGGTTTTTCTCATATTTCTTGTCGCTACTTTAAAATCCACGCGAGTAATAGAAATTATTCTCAATATAATATTTTCAAATTTTTACATCTTTAATCTTTCAAAGCTTTTACGTTATCAATAATTTTGTAAAAGATCTTATAAAAGAAATTCTAAGAAAAAAATTATATCTCTTAAATATGTATCTCGTTTATCATTGAAAGAGAGAGAAAGAGACAGAGAACGAGAAAAAAAGAGAGAGAGAGAAGAGAGAGACGAAAGAGAAGATAATATATGTGTATATTTCAAGATATTCTTTTATAACTAAATCGCACAAAGACTTAATAATTACAACACAGCACAATGACAAAGAGATTATGCATTATTCATTTATTTTATACATGTTAAGTATTAAGATTATCTTCGGAGGAGAGACTTGCAAAATATTTTATTCATTTTATTCAATTATTCATTATTTTCCATGATATAATCGATTAAGGGTAAGTCTCCAGATATGACTCTGATATATCCAATATATCTACTAAAGTTTTGTTAAAAAAATCTAAATCTAAT